GAGACTGACACACACAGAGACTGACACACACAGAGACTGACACACACAGAGACTGACACACACAGAGACTGACACACACAGCTCGTCTAAATACCTCCCATCAACACCCTCGACACCCTCTTTGTTCCCCCATCTTGCCGAGACACATCGTCACCATCATCTCCGGCCTCGTATCTCGCATCTCGTATCGTACGTATCCGGAACAGGTTGGACATTCGGATTGGACCGCGCACGCCACTTACATAGATGATAGTTACTTGGAACCGCCCGCCTCCCCGAGTGGAGTAGCCAGATAGTACTCCAGTGGCCAGATAGTAGACATAACCCGCGAAGGAATACGAGAGATACGAGATGGGAGAACAAAGAGAAACGAAAGCAAAGCAAAGCAAAGAACAGGAAATAAAACGGGAGGAGAATGGAGGGGTACTTACTTGGTATCATACAGAAAAGGTGAGCGAATGCAGAAATGGAAGGAAAGGGAAGGGAAAGGGAAGGGAAATGCACTTCTCTTCTGCCTGTGAAGATCTACCCAGACTCTAACCAGACCCATCTCTCTCTCCCTCTCGCCCAGACAGCAGACAGCAAGGGCATTGGGCATTGCCCATTGTCCACAGTTATGCCCGCTACTTGTCTTGTCTTGTCTCGAATACGGTGGTATATTTTCTCAACAATCAACATCGTCAGCGCGGGGGGCATACAGACTACAGCCACTGAAACGAAACCGACCTCGCCACTCCTCAAAATCGCAGTCACAACCGATGATTCGTCCTCTCGCTCGCTTGGAACTTACAGCCAACTGCGTGCGAGGTGCGAGGTGGACCGTCGTTTTCGTGCGTGGGAACACCACACGATGTCTGAGTCGATGCCTGAGTCTTATCTAAGACACAGATTCTGAGACAGATGTGTTCGCATGTTCTCATGGCAGGTACGACATATCACCAGTGGCAATTGCTAGTCGTACCTCATCCGAAGTTTCTGGGTAACCTTTTCCCGCAAATTCTAAAAAAAAAAAGTAGAATGGCGAATGTTCAGTGTCCAGTGTCCAGTGTCCGAACTTGGCAGGATAGCCGAGGGGATTCAGAAGAGAGGGAGAGGGAGAGATAACGGCCCGTTGCCCACCATTGCCACCCCCCCGCCTCTCCCCGCCTCTCAACGAGCCAACGTCAGCTCTGTAGCTCGACAAAGTTACAAAGTTACGAAGTTACGAAGGTTACAAACTGCGCATGTTTCATAACCAAGCATCCACATAGCAATCTTTCCACTCGCTTGCTTGTACATCCTCCGGCCCCACCTCCCCCCACTTCACCCCCACCACAAAGCGGGTGCACCGTGCACAAAGCTCGTAGAATATCTCCGCTTCGGAAAGCTCGGACGACGGACGACGGACGACGACACGTTGCCCTGGGGCCTGGCGGGGTGTCACCACTAGCGAACGCAACCACCGGCCTGATCGCTCCAAGTGCCGGAGATGAATGGGGGTATGTGGGTATTTATGGAGGTATGTATGGAGCTGCGGGAACGAAGGCTGTGGAAGCCGATGCTTGTGCTGATTCTGATGCATGGATGATGGATCTTAGATGTGAATCAGTGGTGCACTGTGTAGTTCGATTCGATTCGGGATCGCCGACGTGCGGTGTTGCGTTGCTGATCATAGAAGCTCACTCGATAGTTGGCGTTGATCCAGAAAAGTGGACTGTCAGGTTCTAGGAAAGGTTCGCTGATTGGGATGTCCCCGGCCATGGCTGAAAAGTATTGGGCCTGTGTAGAAAAGCGAACAGTGTATAAGTAGCGTTCGAATCTAGAAAAAAAATATCTGCGCTGCCTGGTGCCCGACGCTCGTGATATGGCTTTCTTCCTTCAGGTTATGTACCCAGTTTCAAGCTCTAAGCACTCATCTCGCCCAGCAGCCATCCACCTGGAACGGTTACTAAGATCCATCGCATTTCCACCAACCTTTTGCAACCTCCGAAAAAAACCGACCTCCTCGAACCATCACCATCACCGGCGGTCAGTATGTACACGTTACACCCACCCAACCAACCATGCCGGGCACGGGCACGGGCTACTTAGTAGTAGTAACCAGTATGTGCCCCCAAGTGGCGTGACATCGCCGGTCCCAGCGATCCGTTCATCTTCGCCCGTATTTAAAGCTGGGCGTGATCGCATCCGGCGTCTCTCCTGAACTTGGCTCGCCACCAACAAAAAAAAAGAAACGGTTGAGGTAGGTAGGACGAGTAACACAGGTTCTCACTCGCTCCGGTAGGTACATAGAACGAAACAATGGCGGTTGATTAGATTTTGCACGTAGGCAGCGATGCCATATCGTGCTGACCGGTAGCGGGGTCTTTAACCCGGCCGGCCAGGGTCGGCAGGAAATGATTGTGACGGTTCGCCATAGTCTAGATAGGCTGCATGCAAAATAACTTGAAGATCTCTCTCTCTTGAATTTTACACGTCAATGTCAAAGTTCAAGTCTATTCCGGTACCACTAATTCTTAGAAGTTAGCATTCTTCTTTGTCCTTGAAACTTACAAGTTTCGCAACGTCCCCGTACATACGGCGTACATACCGCGTAAGCAGCCTTTGTGGCTTGAAGATTCTCAGCATGCGGTGTCCCTGGAATCTCAACCAGATGCAGCCTCTTCAGCCCTGGGCCGTCAGCCAAGCCCAGCCGAGTCCGGCATTATCTATCGTATTTGGCATTCTAGCATTAACTCAGCTCTGTCTGAAACTTCATCACTTTGTCCCTTCATCACTTTGTCCCTTCATCACTTTGTCCCTTCATCACTTTGTCCCTTCATCACTTTGTCCCTTCATCACTTTGTCCCTTCATTACTTTGTCCCTTCATCACTTTGTCCCTTCATTACTTTGTTTACCTACATACCTTCACGAGCTCGTCGTTTTTTCCCATCTATTTACAGTCGCTTTTTACCAATCTTTCTTATTCACCTCATTAATCAATCAAGTCAAAACAAAGTTTCAATACAATCCCGAAACCAGGTGATCACCCGCGTACTGACAGAGTACTTGAGTACATACGTCGTCTGGAAATGGCGGATCCGCCGACTCGCCCATGTAGGCGAGGAACGCAAGGAACGCGCTCACACGCACGCTCGCACACACGCAAGCCGCCAGAGCCGAATGCCAGTAGTAGTCGTAGTCGTAGTTACCGCCTTACAGGCCACCTGACTTCCGATGATCCGATCCGCAGCCACATCCTACATTCCGTACCCTACCTCGTCGGCGCCGGGACTCGGGAGTGGGATTCGTGAACGTCATCATCGTCCCGGGATTCGGGGCGCCAGATGCTCGAGAGACAATGGTGCATGTCACTCACAGAGTCACAGCGCGCACTCGGCCGCTGGGTATGCAAAAAAAAAAAAAAAAAAAAAAAATAAGAACCGAAAAAACAACCGTAAGCGGTCGTCCAGACGAGCACGAGCACGAGCACGATGCCCGAGATATGTTGTGTTGTGTCGTTGCCGGCACCGGGTCTCGAGCTCCCGGGGATCACATGCGGCTACATACGGCTACGGCTTTCCCGCCGGAGTTTGCACGGATACCGTACTCTATCTACCGTATTCACCCCTGCCGTAGGATCAACATTCAACATCCCCGACCGGGACGGACACGTACCGTACCGTCTTGGTTTTTGGTACCTGGTACATATCATATGTTGAGTGAGATTGGCAGTGCCAACGCCTTGGTCTTGGACTCTGGAAAGTAGATTTGCATGGATGATACCGGTACTGCATTGCTGGGGGGTACGTACGGTACTTTAGAGCACCCGCATCGGTAGCGCAGACAGACATGTACCGGTATATAGAGTACTCGTACATACACAGATTGACTCGAGATTCGAGATTGGTGATGTGGGAGTCCGCAGTTCGCTTTCAGTTCTCTCATGCCTACGAGTCTGCGACCAGAGGCTGAAGTTGTTGGACACAAGCAATTGCTTACTCCGACCGACCGAGAGAATGCGCGTTAGGCAACTGTCACTGGAAAGTTGTAACTAGCTGTCCAGTGTATGTACGGTACATAGAAGATCCACCGTAGCGAACGAGATGTTCTGTCTCAAGGTGCACAACTGCTAGTACTTTATGTACTCTAGATCGACGCATCACCACCATCACTCACATCGCCATCAGTTCCATCGACCGAACAGTCATTTTCCCCCGCGGCCCCTTCGCCGTACCTAGTTTAAGTAGATAGGCTGCATACGAAATAAACTGAAGATCTCTCTCTATCTCTATCTCTCTCTCTTTCCCACGGCCCCACTCCCGCTCCAACGATCGCGATCCACCATCCCAGCCATATCTATGACCAATTACAATCACGCTTCCCCCACGGAAATCCCAATCGTGACCAGGCTCGCAAGCACGTTGACAGTCTGACGGTCAAGGCCACTCCCAACCCCCGGCACTACCACTCCCGTGCGCAGTAATCTGCGTATGCCGTCCGTTCCGGCGGAGCTCACCCCGACGTACTAAGGAAGCCTAATCCATCTTTCGGAAAGGAGAGATGTTGATAGAGAAACTTGAAGCGGTGTGGTTTTCGGGAGGTTGAAGCTAGGTAAACCTAATCCTTTGGAAAGGAGAGATTTTGATAGAGAAAGTTGAAGCGGTGTGGTTTTCCGGAGGTAGGTGGGCAAACGTAATAGCAGTTCGTGAGACGCTGTGGCGTCGTCCGCCGTTCGTCGTGCTTGGTTTATACCGGCGTAAAGAGCTTGGAGTCCCTGGACGTTGCGAATTGTGCGAAGAGCTTCAACTATACATTCAGTAATTTATACGCCGTGGACTAGACCACGCGATTGATAGACACAGTCGTCTTGCTCGCATATAGAAAGTTAGATCAAGTGAAGAAAGCGCAAACATAAAAGATATCCGCTCTTCCCGCCTAACGCTACGCTCCTCGATAACGCCATTTTACACTCGCCCCCTCGACAACGCCACTTTATACTCCCCACCTCACCGCCACCATCCGATCCCGACGACGACGACTACAACTCCTTCTTGAGCGAATGCTCAGGGGCATGGATCCACTCGTAATCGACGTGAACATAGGCCCTCTCGACATCCGGCAGTCCCTCCAGCTTGATCTGCAAGCTCTCGGCAATGTCGTGGGTATCCTTTAGCGACATGGTCTCGGGCAGGACGATGTCGACCTCGACGATGATCCTGGGGCCCGCATGGTACGCGCGGACGGTGTCGATGTGCGTGATCCTCTCGTCGTGCGTCATCGAGACATACGTAATCAATCCTCGCAGCTCCTGGGGCGCAGCAACGCCGATCAGGAGCAGTGACTCGTGGTACACCGTCTTCGACCATGCTCCGAGGATGACGAGGCCGATGACAATGGCGCCGAAGGAGTCGACCCACCAGGCCAATTTGCTGCCGGCAATGGAGGTGAGAAGCCCGAAGGAGTTGACGGGAAGGTCGTTGCGGTGGTCCTTCCACAGGATCATCACCTGCGAGTACTTATGTCTCAGGGAGTAGCAATAGAAAAACAGCACGAGCTTTGTTGCCAGCGCGACTCCGACTGCGATGACGGATGGAAGACTGAACGACTTTGTCTCGCCGTGATCCGCCTTCGCGAGATCGCTAGCGCTAACAACGATGAGGATCAAGGATACGGCGATCATGAGGAAAGCGAAGGCGATGTTCCCAGCAGTCTCAAGTCTCGCCTTGCCCGACGGGAAGCGGGAGGAGTCGACGCGGTTGACGGCGCGGTGAGAAAGTATCAACATCACGTTCGAGAGAGGATCGAAAATGGAGTCGGCCGCAGCTATGACATTGTCAGTGCATGTCACTACTCCTCACTCCTCCACACTCTGGGACGTACTGGCAAACAAGGACAAAGATCCAGACGAGATGGCTGCGTAGAGCTGCAAAACAGCAAGGACCAGATTCGCCGCCAAGGATCCATGAACGGCGATTAAAAATCTGAGCCGCGTGTCGTCGGCCGAATCCTTCGCCTCGCGTCGGTGCTCGTCGACGCTCTTGAGCATCCGCTGGATGTGCGCATTCTGGCTCTCGTAGAAGGATTGTAGGCCCTTAACGTCGCGTTTCTCGGTGGATGAGCGACGCCGCGCAGAAAACGGGATGCGTGAGTGCGGCTTGGTAGCAGACGTCGGTGAGGTGGCCAACTCGGCGATTTCGGCGGGAGATTTGAGGGCCAGGGATAGACGGAGTGGGTCAGGCCTGTGAGCGCGAGGGGATAACTCGATATCATGTTGCTCGAGTACCGTCGTTGTCATACTAGATGTCGCCATTTTGATTTGAAGTATGATGGATGTGCGATGTAAAGAAGGAAGGGAAGAGGAGGGAAGAAATAGAAAAAGTGAGGGCAGCCATGATGTCCCCCCAACTTGAAGTAGGCTTCGTTGCTAGGGTCGTATGGGGCTAAAAATATGCAGAACAAGCATCGGCAGCAGGGTGTTAGCACACGGAAGCCCTACCGAAATGCAGGTTGACGCAAGCCCACTTGACTTGCAATTTAGTAAGCGAATCAGACACGAGTGAGCTACAATGATCATCATTGAATTGTCGATCCCCTCGGATGAATTCACAACTCCGCAATATACAAATTTGTCAAACATGTTATCGAAAGAAGTAAAAAGTAGAAAGTATTGACAAATGGGTATGCTGTCGGAGAAACATTGCGTGCTTATTAGCACAGAGAAAGAACTGGGGAATTCGTTCGAGGGGAAGAAAAAGGCAGAAAATCTTGCAGAAGCAGTGAGTTGAACGGGAAACATTTGACAAATCTCGAAATCACACGCAAATCACATCGGCAGGCTACTCGTCTCTGGCGTTGCTGTTGATGTTGAAGTCTGTGGAGGCGTCGGAGTCGGCTTCTGCCGCGGTCTCAGCCACAGTGTCGTTCTGGATCTGCATACCAGTCGCCATCCTGGAAAGGACATTATTAATGGCCCTTCTGATCAGCACACTCAGCGGCTCGTTCTGGCCTCCTTCAGGACCAGGATGGGCAACCGTAGTATCGTTGTTAGTGACCGAGTAGCATGCTCCAGAAACCCAATCCGGAGTCGGGGCGGAATCTTGAAGAGGGTACATCCCAGTCTGCTGATAGTACATCTGTTCGGCTTGGTCCCTGTGACCCTTCCATCCGGCATAAACTGGATCACGAAGGCAGTACTCGAACCATCCCAGCAGATACTGGTCGTTCTGGAGGACAGTGCGAACCAGATCCGCGAACATATAGGTAGGAACCCTAAAACCGTCAGTTATTGTCCGCAGGGAAGCAGAATTGGGTAGACTGCTCACTTGTTGTGCCACCAGCCATCCATAACTCCCGTGATGGTTCTTCTAGCCGAACCACCGTGCCTCTGCTCTACGACAGTGAGCCATTCCAAACCGTAGCCCGGCTGCACGTTTTCTGGCACTGTATAGCTTCCGGGCTCCTGTGAGGCTTGGTGGGAGCCGTTCTGTTTGGCTGTGGCTTTGAAGCCAGGTTGGACGCTCTGGTGGTGGTTAGCATCGGTCACATCATCCCCGTTGGTGACTCTGCTCACGGTGGGGTCACTCGTGCGGGCGCTGCGGTCATCCCCGGCATTGTCGATCATCGTGTCATTGTCGATCATCGCGGCAAGCTCATCGGCTACTCTGAGGTGTGAGCTATTAATAGGGAATTGAACGAAGAGCTGCTTACCTGAGGAGGCCTGTGATGAGGGAGGACTATGCAGAGTGACTCTATTGCCAACTCCAGCAAAGGATTCGGGTTTATCTGGGGGTAGTTAGCTACCAACAAGAGCCCGACAAAGAGACAGCCGAAATACCCATCAGTCCGTCGTGGAAGTGACCAATCATGATGTTATCAGATCCGTCCCGAGAGTCGTTGATGGTACCAAAGCTATCAGGAGAACCAGGCTCGCCGTTGTAGTTTTCACGCTCGTGCTGATGACCAATGTACTCGGTGGCTTCCAATACAGGAGAAGCAGGCGGGGATTCGGTGTCGGAGCCAACGGGAGTCTCGATGGGAGACAGAGGGGAGTCTCGCAAGAAAACAGAAGGATCGACGGTGCATTTCCCGCCGCATGTACTGCAGTTCGCTGGAAGAGGACCGTTAGGTGCGTCACCGTGGTCTGGCGGGTCAGCGTAGTAACCGAGTAGAGGAGAAGCCGTGTCATTGTTGACGGTTGCACCGCTGTCAGTGGCTCCATCCGCTTCCAGCTCGTCCAGGTTGTGAGAGAAAAGAGACGGCAACCTGGACGAAGAGCAAACTGACATCATATCGCCGTGGTCATTATCTTCGTTGCGGTTGTCTGACACTGGATCGCGAGTTGAGGTAGAGAGGATAGAAACCTCGTCCTCAATTCCATACTCACTCCCAGTAGTTGACAATGGGCTGTCCGACCTGATCGACATGCTGGTTTCGACATCGTCCGCATTGGCATCTTCCAGCACTTTGCCTACTTTCTGCAACGAAATGTGCTCCCACTGGCTCATCGCAGCCGAGAGAGGGCTATTAGGCGTATCATCTTCTTTGTGGTCCCCTCCAAGTACAACCGCGGGAAGGGCTGGAACACCAGTATCAGAAATTCTTGTGGTAGTACCAGCCGCCGCATTAGTAGAGTTCGCCCCAGTTCCTTCCTTGGCTCCCTCCGAGCTCACTTCTCCTCCACTATTCACTGCTGGCTCATCTCCAAGAGTCTTGTATGGCCTGCGTGGCTTGCGTGGCTTGCGTGCGGAGGGGTTTTCGGGACAAGCCTGATATGAGCGACCGGAGCGAGTACTTCGTGTTCCTAAATTGAAGTCGGTGATCATCTCATGCGGCGTATCCCTCATGTCAATCCCAAAGTCGAGAGTCTGGAACAAGTCCTGCTTGGGATTGGTGCGCCCCATTGACCGGAATTTGGGGGGTTATTCGGGGGTTGTAGTGGTTTGGGTGGTGGTTGTGGTGGTGGTTGTGGTGGTGGTTGTGGTGGTGGTTGTGGTGGTGGTTGTGGTGGGGGATTATTGTTGTGATGGAGGTGAAGAGATGTTGAAGTAGTTGTTGTCGCAGAGGTCGTTGGAGTCAACGAAGTGTGTTCCGATAACACACTTCGATGTTCTCCTATACACCAGCACTCACATATTCACTATTGCCTCTGACAAAACAGCGGATTAGTCTAACATTCAATCTTCAATTTTCCTCGACCTAGTAGGCATGTGTGAGTAGTGGTGCATCCGCTTGGTTTCTCTACTCACTCTTCACGATGCCAAACACCAAACGATGATATAACAGTTAACGGTCTTTTCATGCTTCATCTACTGTGCTATGGTATCCCACATCAACGCAAACCACCATCCAATAAATCCACCACCCTTCTCATACACATTACCGCCCAACAGTTCCCCACCAGCCCAGACCGGCCACTCCTCCACCCAAAATCGCAGCCGCCGGCGCGACACCGTACCACTCAACAACCGTGTACGTCGTCGCCGCAACCACCAGCCACCAGGGCTCCTTCGCCAAACTGATGCCGGAGCTTTCCGCAGCCGTCAGGTAGCCGATCTCCCACAGCCGGTACACGGCGGTGAAGACCAACCCTACGGCGGCGGCATGAATACCTCTTAACACGCTGACAACAGTGCGCCTCTTGCGCAGAACGCTCCACAAGCTCTGGAAGCCCACCGATAGCGCAATTCCCGGGAAGAAGATGCCGAGAAAGCCGATCACTGCACCCAGAGTCGTCGACGATTTCGAAAGCGTGAGTCCTCCGAGGTAGACGGCGAAGTTGAAGTTTGGTCCCGGGAATGCCTGGATCAGCGCGAGTCCGAGAAGGAAGTCACGGGGCGACACCCAGCCAGGCTCGACCACGTATTCGCGGAGAAGAGGAATCACGACGGGTCCTCCGCCGAAGATGACGGTACCCGCGAGGTACATGTTGTTGAAGAGGGCCAGCGGCAGAGGTACGTCCTTGAGAACTCCGCGGATGACCATGAGCGTGATGAACGAGACGAAGAACCCGACGATGATGAGGATACCCCACTTGACGGGGACACCATGCTTCGGCATGGTTACCGCCGGAAGGATGTTCTGCTCCTCCTCCTGGGAGCCGCCGTGAGTCGATGGCGCGGATGTCTGCCGGCGCTGAGTTGTCGATGCGCTGTCTGCCAGGTCCACAGGGACAGAGATATTCTCCTCGACTTCCCTCGGCTCCGACTTCCGCCGCTTCATTTTCTCCTTGATGCCCTGCACCTTGGTCTTCATCCAGCAATCCCAAGCCAGCGTCGCCGCGCCTCCGATCAAAATCAGAACCGGGAAGTACCAAAGCGCATTGTAACACAGTCCCGCACAGCCTCCGAACACAACGAGGGCCCTGGTCAGCCTATCGGTGATAGCCTTCTTGGCGAGCTGCACAGCCGCCAACGCGATGATTCCGACGGTCGCCGCATTGAGACCCGAGAGCAGCGCGTACACGGGGTCCGGTAGAATCTCGCCAACACGCTGGATTCCCAGGGCGAGTCCGAACATGCCCAGTGCGCCGGGGAGCGACCAGATGAAGAACACGACGAGGGCGGGGAGAAAGCCCGCGTGGATGTGCGCGATGCTGAAGGCCATCTTTGTCGATGCGGGGCCGGGGAGTGCTTGGCAGATGGCGAACAGCTCCTGGTAGGTTTGTTCGTCGATCCACGGTGTCTTTCCCATACCGTCGACGAAGCGGCGGTGGAGAATCTGGAAGTGAACGGGAGGTCCGCCGAACGACGTGAAGCCGAGATCCCAAGTGCGAAGGAACACATCTCGGAGGCGAGGAAACAGCTTCGTCTCAGCGCCGGCTCTGCTGCCGGCGGAAAACATGGCGGACAGTGACATTGCGAAGTCGAAGTCGAGGTCGATAGGTGAGTATGAGATGGGACGTTGAGAAGGAAGGAACAGTCGCGATACCTACATATATGTAGTGTCGGAAGCGCAGGCTAGCAGATGGCGCGAAATCACAGAATTCGGGTAGCAAATGGGGTGCCAGAATCCATCAACGTGCGACAGGGAAGAGCTTAATTTTCAAGCGAAAAGGGCAATTCCGGCGTTTGACGCGGCTTGGCTCTGGCAGCATGGGATCGCGGGCTCCACAGTGCGCTGCTGAGGAGCACGCTACAATTCAAAGCGGCAACTACTGACTTACATACATAACTGGTTTTCCTGCGAGGTCGGGTACCTTGCTAGCTTTTGACAGCTTAAACCCACCGCGAAGGTTCCAGGACTTCCAGCCTAACATCTGCTAGCAAAGTGGTCACTGCCCAGTTCCTATTGGCTGCAGGGTTTTCTCAGGCCAGGGGAGCTGCGTCGGGTAGCGAGGGCTGCCCATCTTCAATATCAAAATCCGCCGACATCGCGATGAGGGCCAAAAGCACGAAAAACAACATTACCAGGGGTTTTCCGGACAACAAGGAGTTTTTGGAAAGTGCGGACTTGCATTCCAGCAGAAACCGCCATTACAAACCAGCCGGAAGGTTCTTCACGTTTACTGCTCGTCTTCGGCTCACAATGAAGCTTCGAAACTTCATGCTATGTATCCAGTCCAATCTCATTTCCAGAAAGATCATCCGTTCGGTGGTAATCGAAGCACGCTTACCAGTTACTTGGCAGGTCTACACATACCGTAGGTCTGTAGCTAGCAGCTCTGTCGACTCATCATGAGTCTTTCTGAATACAGTACGTACGATGACGGCTTAGGCCAGGCGCCAGCCCCTTAAACGGCGACATAGTACGTGGGCTGGCTTTGTTGACATGAAGACTTTGCCCTGAGCTTGTATGATTCGGGCCGAGTTCGGGAGTGGGACGCATACGGTTTCTTCCGTTCAATCGTCATCTTACGGTATCAGATCATGGCAGCTGCAACCCGATTCCGCGGGGGGGCTCATATGTAACGGGTGATAGTTTGAGGCGTCGCGAGTGATGGGATATCTAGGGCCTGGGTACGGAATTTGAATGTACATACCAGCCACGGGAGGAGGGTGGGGCACGTGCTCCGGACTCCGGAGCATAACCTCCACTCTAAATACCGATAACCGTGCCATGATGTTTCTCTCGATGGCATATGACGTATTGTCGTCAGCTCTTGGTGCTGGTGTTGTCCCTAAGCCGTAATACCATATTCCCACAGCTTTTGTGGTATGTATCTTGCCATACTTATCATATGGCCTAATCACGGGCAAGGCTGGACAACAAATCCACCTCTACGCTCTACAGTGGTCGCATATGCCCCGAATCACATAGCGAGGGGGTCAACATGCGGATGGTGCCTGGGGTTGCTACAAAGATAGCAAGCTCATGGGCGCAAAAGTGAGCGAGAAACCACTGCCATCTCGGGGATAAATTATCTTCCGCTCGGAAGACCACGGGTGCTGCAATAGCACCGGTACACCAGATATACACCAAGCGGAACATGAGAGGGAGGCTGGTATGTATGTGCACCCGTTCATGAGTCATGAGATGCGGCCGCAATAGCAATCCCGGTCTGGGTATTAGACAGTTGAAAGAGGAAGACGAGAATCCTTAGATTACGCGCAGCGGGCTGGACCAGCGCACCGGTTATGCCTACACACGATCCGCTCTCGAGTTGAACCATTCTTCATGAGCGGATTCAGATCGATGGTTGGTGCGAAACGACGGCCAAACTCGCCCGGACGACTGTTGTCAATTTGATGGTCGACACCGTGGCGGTCATAAACGAGAATTCTACTGGTCGTCATCCGTCGATTCCATTGAAGGGATGCTGAGGCGGCGGCAACGAGTGAGGGAATATCTCCCACGCTGTGGCTTCCGAGCAAGAAGAGGACTCCTACAGGTTCCACCGATCATCACCCGCCCTTAAAGGGAGCAGATGCCCAACGCCATACTGTTGTTCTCATTCCACGCCCCGAGTCTATCCGAAGGGAAGCTTGTGTGGTGGGGCGAGAGGAGGACCTGTCGGCGAGAGGAGGAAGTGAAGGAGGACCTGTCGGCGGGAGAAAACGAATGTGGTTAGTAGTGCAGACCAACGTTGGTGGGAATCAACGTTGGCGGCCATGGCGAGGTCGTTTTCTTCATCTCCTTCTTCTTCTCTCTCGATCATCATCTACCGAATAGACAATCAACCTCCATACCTCCTCTTTCTTCTGTGTGTGCTCTCCTCTCGATCCCGCCTCCGGCCTGGAGGGTGTTGGCAAAAGAGCCGTCTGCAAAACTGCACTCGAGTCACACGTACATACAGCATTCGAAATCTACCCTACTACCTCCCGGATACTTCTGTGGGTGGGAGGGTGGCTATTGAGGCCCGCTTTGCACCTACCATCATGATGGTTCGCCGGTCACCACTAAGGCCCACACCGAGAATTTGAAGTATCACTTCCACCAAGTCTTCTCCGACGTTGATTAGGTATCGGTGTGTTCGTAGCTGTTGATTCTCTCGACACTCTTCATTCCAACACTGATCACGGTTGACGGAGAACTAGATGTGCGAGATCACTGTCGGCTCATTGGTATGAGTAGAGTATGTACCAATCTCATGCAGACTCGCTTCGAAACCGAAGAAGCAACCCCGAGAGAGTCGTTCATCGAGTCATCGATGTCAGCATCCAATCCCTTTCGACCATCAACCCTGAATTCGTGTCACTACTCGTATGTAGCACCGAATCTCAGCATCCTCAGCCCCGTGTTGAGTCCGTCTGAATCGTTGCTGCAAGCCTGCAACCGCCTTGGATTCGGAGGGTTACACCCACACACCATACACAGAGCATTCCCACTGGCCACCCCTTTAATTTTGCCACCACCAACCTCTCGCAGTCCAGAACGTGAATTTGTACCACCAACGCACGTCCCGCTTCGTGTTCAGCCCTGAGCTCTAAGCCCAGCCCGACTCGCGATTCGCCCTGTGTCACAGCTGCAGCCTCTGAGCGTGTGCAACAGAGGCTACTGATTGCTGCTGTGCTGGCACTGCTCCCACACCCCCGTTGTGGTACAAGGGAGCCGAGGAGGGTGTAACAGTGTTGCAAACGTGTTGTACGAATGGTCTTTATGCGGTGGCCGCTCGCAGCCATTTCCAGGGACCAGGGGAAGGGGGGAAGCATAACTGGGGGGTTTCGAACGGTGGTTCTTTACAGTCGAGTGAAACTTGCAGAGACCAACTATCCAGCAAAGAGTGCACGCGGGGGGACGAGATTCGTTCCTCGGAGCGTCGATTGCATCACTCGATCGAAGGAGGATTTCTTCGTCACTTCGTGCCCTTGGTTGCAACTTGCAACTTGCACCCGGAATCACCCACTGGGGCGGCGTCTGTCGGACCCGAGTACCAGGTGCACGTATGATGGTTCATTTCCCCGCCCAACGCAGGCATGTCAGGCACTTATCTACTGGAGTGCACCACCTGAGACTGCTAGAGCCCTGCACTTAACTGCGAGACCCTGTGTTCAGTTTGCACGCGCGAGCCAATCCACAGCTGACTGGCACTGGCCGCAGGGCATGATTGGACCGTATCCGAAAGAGTCAATTTTTTGGCTCCCTTCCTCCTCGCTAACCCGCACCCAGGTGTACTCTAGGTATTCTTGGACCCGGGCTTGCCTTCGTGGATCAGCCCAAGATGCAATGCACCGAAGAGACAAACAGGAGGAGGGCGGAGAGGAGACGGGAGGAGAAGCTGGATGAATATAAAAGCAGTATCCTTCCAACAAGTCCATATAACAGTTCAGCAAGCCAACGAACACATCCAGACAATCCAGCAAGCAAGCCTCCTCACAGCCGGTGGCTCGTCTATAATCTTCCTCTCCGTACATACCTCTTCCCGCCACGATGCAGTCCCCCAACGCGCCGGAGCACCCGGCGCACATCGTCCGCATCCCACACTTCCTCTTCATCATGCGGCTGGTGCAAATTTTCCTGAGCGTGGTGATCCTGGCGCTGATGGCCTTCGCCATAACCCAACTGACCAACGTCTTCGGCACCTTCGGCTACAACATCTTCTGCTGCATCTACAACTTCATCGGTGTCGGCTACCTCCTCGTCAGCGTGGCCCGTGCCCCGCGGATATGGAACTGTTGGGCCGCCCTGGTCATCGATATCTTCGGCGTGATATTCTGGATCTCCGCGTGGGGTTCCCTCGCCGGCTGGGCTGCCCTCGGGAATATCGCCTACGATTCCAGTGCGCTGGATCTGTGCCGCCACTATTCGAAGACCGACCAGAGGAAGTGTAATGGACGCAAGGGAGCGTGGCAGGCGAGCGCGGCGACGGCTGGATTGGGCGCGATTGTTTGGTAGCTCTTCACCTCCCTCCCCGGTACTCTCTACTGCTACTGGAATAGCTACTGATGGGATCATAGGGTTCTCTTTGTGGTCCACTTGATCGTCTACTCCATCCATCTCCACCGCCACCGCACCGCGCCTGAGACTAAGCATCTGCCTTCTTCCGGCCGTGCGCTGACCGAGGAGGAGAAGGGCGCCGAGATGAATGTGGTTTCGCCCCAAGGGGTTTACTCCGCCTAGTTTAATGATGATACTGGAGGATGGTGCTGTGAGGAGGGCGGCAGCGGTGGTGGTGGTTATGTTACCAAATGTCTTTTGTTTTCAACTTTTTCTTTGTGACATACTCGGAATAATCCGATGGCGGGTAGGTTATTTGGAAGGGCGTGGCAGCAGACGATGATGTCAAATCCATAGATACCACGAGTTTATGTTCGCACAAGTTCTTCCCATGAATAGGTTTCCGTTTCGTGCGACTGCGATCTGGGTTCTGTCGGACACTGCTGTCTCATTTTCACAACGGAACGGAGGGATACATACCTGGTAGTTACCGCGGAACTCTCCGGGCGACCCAACAACCACAATATCCGAGCGCGTATGCGGTACATACCGGTACTCTATGTAGAAGGTACCGTATCTACCGAGCTGAAAGGCGATGAAACGATCCTCCTCCTGCTCCTGCTCCTCTCCTCCTCCATGTTCATCAGCTACACACATGTGACATAGGTACCTGCATACCACCTCCCGCATCGCGACTGAAATCACACTGGTCCCCTAACTACCGCATCCGTCATCGATAAGCGGCAACCACCTGCGCAACATCGAGAAAACACACCGGTACCGTTGAAATTCCGACTGGTCGAATGCACGCAGGTGCTGGTACTGGTTTCGTCGGCTCAGCCCTCGGGGGGGGGGGGTTGCAGACAAGAGCTGAGCAATGAGCACCGATACCTACTCTACTATATAGTACCGGTAAGCTGGAGCCGCAGCCCATCACGGCAGCCTGCGGAAGCCTGCGGGAGCCTGAAGGGTGCAGTGTTAAGCGAGCGGTGAGGGGCGGGGTGGGGGCGTTTTAAAGGGATCGACGGCTGCGTCTGTGTCACTGCGTGGGGCGAACTTTGAATGAATGTCTTTACCGAACAAAGTGCCGCACTGCCGCCCTCGAGGCGACGAGGCGACGAGGCGTGCCACCGTCGGTAAGAGTAGGATGGGCTTTCGGAATGGATGGGAAACTGGTATGCTCATCCTCCACCACCACCACAATGCCACGGCTCCGACGGCGTTGGTGGAAACGGGAGTGGTGGTGGTGGTGGCGGTGGTGGTAATGATGTTCCCATTTCAACTTTGTGTACGCCAAACTCGGGATTCCACGTCATGCACCCACTGAATTTTTCCATTCCACACGACGTGGTGGAAGTAAGGTTTCCTGGTCTGATCGAGGTTGCTTGCGTTTTCAAGACGCGCCATGGTCAGAGGGAGTGAATGCACAGGTACTCTACTTAAATACTTCAGTAGGTGAGATGTAGAGATGGTGGGGCAACCCTATACCAGGGCCGATACCTAAGCCCTTGTATAGGTCCTGCAGGCTACCACGGCCCGCTCACGTTCGGTTCCACGCTCAAGTCACGCGAGACGAGGTTCCATAGGTACCTGTTGTGACGGCCAGCTTTCATCTCAAATTTCTTACACATGTCTGTACTACGGTACTCGCCTCCCGAGTCCCACCAGAGTTCCGGACCAGACCGAGACGCACACCCTCGATCACTCGCCTGGGATCTCTTATCCGGCCGGGAACCCAGGTATCTAGTTAACTAGCGCGTTCGCCAGTCTCCACGGACCCAACAGGCCATGCTGCCGAAGCATGATGGCATTCTGCCATCCACAGCGGCGCAGCATTCCAGTCAGAACCAGTCCGCGAATCGGTGACCGGTGACCGGTAACCACCGTGGTAAGACATCTGACATTTTCGGGTCCTGTCTCATCTCATGATTCTCATCTATGATCTCCTCCTTTCACTTGCAAAATTCAGGGCATGATGGCACGGGAATGTCCCTGCTGACTACCTACCCACGACTCAGAGCATGCAACTCCGAGTCTCTGGCGCTCTGAATTCGAAACCGCCGGGCCGGGTCTGTAGAGTAGTTGCGCGTTTCACTGGAGGCTTGTACATGAGCACTTGCCCTAGCATTCCGGAATGGGCGAGGCAGTAGGCTCCCGACCGGGAAGCGGGGTTGGCGGGGGATGGGGGAGGGGTTTTTTTATCTTCGGCAGCCGGCAGCAGCTGACACTCGCTAAGAACCGCGAGCCTGCGTTTCCGATGTTGGGGTTGAGCCGTTGGGTTGGGGTTCCCGTCCGGGCTCCGACTTGCTGGGTTGACGGGTGCGGATTGTCAGCCCGCCGGGGTGGTTGTTTGGGCCGTAAATTGTAGGAGTCCCGGGGGCCCAGGGGTTCCCAAACCATGGTTCATCCTGTGCTTACATACTTACACACGGGTGAGCCCTGTCGTGGGGCAGAGAGTTTCATCGGCTGGAATGTGCCTTGCGAATATCTGGCTCGGTTCTTGAAGCTTCAGTTGGAAGTTTTGGAGGCGGGTATTACCTAGAGTGTGTACGTGCGATGATGGTGGCGGACCTTGGAGAGCACAATTGGTACCGAATACTGTGGCTCTGACGCACCGTGAACCGCTGATACTCAACAATAGGTAGACAATAGTTGAATACTGTTCCTAACGTTGTACGAAAACACATCAAGTGCTTGTATAATACACAGTATAAAACATACATACATAAGAAACATCACAAATATATATCCACCGGCCACATACCCACCGTCCACATATCCACCGTTCACATATCCACCGTCCACATATCCACTGTCCACCTATCCACCGTCCAAATATTCCTCACGAGCTCCAAACCTTCACACTGTTGATCCTCCAATACGCCTCCGAAAACGCCGCAGGGTTGTTCCTAACCCACTCTGCGCAGGTACTGGCCTTAGCCTGACACTGGCTACTATTACCCCACACGCTCCCCGCCCAATCTCCACAGAACGTCGTATTGATGATGATCCTGTGGTTCATAAACTTCTCGTCGATATTGCAGTCTCCCTGGAAGACGGCGACCGGAGTGCCCCAGTTCTCAGGCGCCGGGTTGGGAGTGAACATATCGGCGGGAGCCTGACCACGCGGGAAGAACCACACCTTGATGAAAGCGCTGTTCCACTCAGTGGCGAAGAGTCCGCCGCCGATGTTGTTGAACCCGGTGCCGTACGACATCGTGCGGGGATCGGAGAACACGCAGCCCTGGTTGGAGGCTTGGCCGGCGGCGTTGACGTCGCAGTTCTTGGTGAGCATGTTTCCGGTGCCGCCGCCGCCGTTCATGACGCAGCCGGGGGTGGTGTGCAGCGCCATGCTGTTCGTCGTGGCATCGTTGACGCCCTCGACGATGTCGATTTCGCCGGCCTGCGGCCAGTCGGCGGTCGAGCCGAGAGTCCAGAATGCTGGCCAGGTGCCGCAGCCGGCCGGCATGTGCGCGGCGTCGAGGATGATGAGCCCGCGCTGGAACGTCTTCTTCGATTCGAGACGAACGCTGGGGCGGCCAGCGTTCGGGTAGGCGTTGGTGGTGTCGACGCCGATGTACACGCTGGTGGGATCGGTGCGGATCAGCCCAGAGGAGCTGGCGGCTGACTGAGAGATGTAGCTGACCACGCCATTGGTGGGGTCGGCGCCCTATGAGATGTTAGCAAGGAATGCGTGTAGATGTGAGGGGGTAATAGGGGACGGACAGTGTAGAAGTTGAACTTGGTGAAGAAGTCCGATGGGGTGTAGCTCTCGGCGAGGACAGTGTAAAAGGCCGACACTGAGCGGACGAGGAGAAGGCTGCTGAGTAGGAGCTTCATTATGAAGAGATCTTGCGACTATGTTTTTGTTTTTAATGGATATTGAGCTGTCTGGTGGCTTGATTTCGAATATCTACTGGAGGAAGATGCCCATCTTATACCTCGATACATCTTGACTCCTGGGTTCAACAAGGCCGTGAACGTGCCCTACCCTGTGGAAGAAACTTCTGGAGTTGGTGTCAGGATCTGGGTAAAGAGATCAAAGGCCCGGAGTTCCCGTTGCAAATCATGCTGATTCCTCTGGGTGGTGATAGCTATGGGTGGGATAACCCATGATCCGACAAAGGGTTCGATATTGCTGTCTTCTGGAACTCCGAATTCCGATGATTGATTCGGGGAGCACCGGTATGGCTTCCTCGCGATGTCTCGAGGAAAAGCAAGATCACAGGTTGGTATCGTGTGTGAAATTGATTCCTATTGCAGTTAGCAACCAATTGTAGCCATGAGAGGGGAAGCTACTTGGATGGTTCGTGACGGGCTCGCATCCAGAAGGACAAGGAAAAGAGAGGACGAGGCGAGTGGACGAGGAGGTACGTACCGGCATGTGATACCACTATGTGTGAGCTTAAGCCTTCAACATGACTGGGTTCCCCATGTCGCGTGGCAACCTGTCAGGTACTATCATTTGCACATGGGGACCAATCAATGAATCAGTAGGCACTATGCTCCATGGTGATGCGGGAAGGACATCCTCGCCACAGGTTCCGGAGATTAGGACCCAATAGGGCATGTGGCATGCATATCGACAGCACTGGGCCATGGTTTTGCCTACGCATGCACTTGAGTTAATACTATACATCCGCGCCATATAGGATTCCAGAGCTTTCAAGTGACACCGTCGAAATCCAGTGCCACACATGGCTGCAACATGCGAGTCGACATGCAGCAACGATCTCACCCGGCGGTGCGGAATTTCTCCGTCACCTGGCGGTGGACGTTCCCCGCGTTCTTTAGTGGTTACGACGGTTAAAGGCGGGTTGGTGCTACGACGGCTCCCACGAGGTTGCCGATCGACAAACGGCCTTCCATGCTCGGTCTGTACTCCGTTCCACGTGTGTAGGCAGGTACTAGCACCTACACACGTTACGCGAACTTTTAAACGCACATCAGGCGGCACTCGAGGATGAGCATGTACTGTCACTCGGAGTATTGGCGCTTCTGGCCAGCACTGGCCGTTTGCACTGAATGGTGAGGAACACTTCGTCAAGCCAGCTATCTGAATTATAAATGGGATCAGAATATATCTGGTCTACTCGTGCCAATATCCGGATAAGTCGAATACACCATGATAAAATTGAAAAACAAAACATGCGCTAAATGGTAAAACTACTTGGATATTTTGGAGAGAAACTATGGTCAGGAGGAATGGGGAGATCACCGGAGACAAATCGGCCTTGTGGCCGAGAAGTAGCCTCTAAAACCTGATATGCACGCACATTGTAAATTATGCACTTGTATTCCCTCAAAGTCCCACGATGCATAGGCGACCTAGTCGCCGTTGTCCAGAGCCCTCCTAGGGATCGAAGTACAAACATATGGATCGTAGCCCCGTGGATCCGCCCGCCTTCAAAGTCCCCTCAATATGCATAGCAGTGCGCGTTTCATGAGTTGGAGAAGTACTCGCTGTCCACCCCGAGGTTCCCCGCACGGGTCGTGGTACTTGACCATGGTGACCACTGTCCTGCCTCAAAGGGTCATCAGCTCTCTATGTATGTACCGCAAGCGATGGCAGGTGTCGTTGTGGTCGGTCTGAATACTGTCGTCGTGATCAAAGTCCAGGTGCAAACGCCACAACGTTGACACGCGCCGCCCAGCCTTTCGTGAAGTCCACCTGCACAGTTGCGTCGCCTGTGTCTGACCAAGTGCAACGTGCGGCCGTTGAGGCCCGAGGGAAAATGCCCATGGTCTTAGGCTCGTACCGTAGTTATGCATACCCCTTACTTCGTGACCAGACACACTACATATGCCATCACTCGTTTCGATCACACACGGGGATCTATCAGGCGAATCTGATTTCAACTGCCGTGCGGGGAATCCCTTCCGACAACTAGGAGTTCGTGCCGTGGGTCGGGTCTAACCGAGCGATCGCTGTGCGATAGTACTGTACATACGGAGTTCCGTACCTAGTGCCTCGACAGAAATTGCATAAACAGGGAGCGTTGCATAGCGTCTAAGCTTCGTGCCTCGCGAGGCAGATCGATAAGTGCACTTGCAAGGGCACGTGTATAGTGGTGGGGTAAAGCTTCGCGCGTATCTAGATGGTATTTGGAATCTGGATCAACTTCCGCTGCCGCGATCTTCTACTTCCTCATCGGCTTCGCCGGACAAGCATGACCTCGATTCAGCCTTTCGGACGTGGATTCAGTTGATGAAGTCCTCTGAAGCCGGTTCCGAGTCTCCGTACGGGCCCCGGCGGCTACGGTGGATATTGCATATGTGGATTGCTACCGTCCTAAGCGATTTTCTCTCTTTGTCTCGTCTGATCAGCGGTTGATCCGGTAAGTATTCCGCACCGTTGAACTCTAATCCGCGCCGTTGTTGCGTGATATGACCGGTACATATAGTTCCGGGTGTTTCGGTGATGCATATCTATTTCCACGTGCGGAGTGTTGGTGTTACCCAATTAACATACCTAGCGCCACCCTGTCGCGTCTTCCCACAATCCCACAACATCGCGTCTCCTTCCTTATACCACCGACCATATTGACGACACAACACTCCCGCCAATAACCTTGCGATGAAGAAGTTCATCCCTCCACTCCTCACCCGGCGCGCTACGGCTTCAGTCGATGAGCCACCCGCGAAAAAAGCAAAGATCGGGTCGTCGGACGACAGCCCGCAATCAAGCTCATCTACGCCCACGGCAACCAGGCCGGGCATCAGGTTGACCTCCACGACTGCAAAGCGCAGGCCATTGCTCTCGGTCAAGAACCCTGTCGCCGCCAAACCGGCTTCAGCTTCCACATCGAGCACGGTCGCTACGCAGGGAACCGCCGGTGGTGGTACGGAGGACTATTACAATGTGCTCTGGTATGGCGGGAATCCCGTCCCGACTGCCCTAGATCCGCTGACATCTCCGTAGGCGCAAAAAGACAAACAAGAAACACAAGACCTTCGATGGCGACGGTGTCCTCTCGGTAGTGGGCGGCTACGCGACGCTGCAAGACTCGAGTGGCAAAGATCTCGGGAAAACGCTACTCAATAGAAAACTCGAGCTCGGAGACATTGTGTCGTTGGGTGGGAAAGAGGTGGAGATAGACTCGCTGCTCTCGAAAGCAGACTACCTTGCCGGAAGGCCTTTCCTTCGGGCTAGCAAGACTTCTACGGAAACCGAGTTTGTTCCTTCGACGATACCGTCCGCGATCAAGGGTTTCAAGGCACCATTGCTACATACCACTGTCATGCCAAAGAAGGCGAACTCGAAGGTTCCCACACCAAGACATGACCCGGCGGCCGAGAATGCGTTGATAATGCCGAGGCCAAATGCGAAGTCCATTCCGGCCGGGAAGAAAATGGTGGACGTGGTAGTCGATCCGTATCTTTCGCAGTATTTGCGGCCACATCAGCGTGAGGGCGTTGAGTTTCTCTACCAGTGCATCATGGGAATGAAACCGTTCGAAGGCCGTGGAGCCATACTGGCCGACGAGATGGGATTAGGAAAAACTTTGCAGACAATTGCGCTACTGTGGACCTTGATGAAGCAAAATCCCGTTTACGGAGACAGTCCCGTCGTAAAAAAGGCGCTGATCGTCTGCCCAGTCACTTTGATCAACAATTGGCGCAAGGAGTTCAAGAAATGGCTAGGAAATGAGCGGATAGGAGTGCTTGTGGTGGACTCCAAGACTAATCTGCGGGATTTCATTGCGGGAAAGACGTATTCCGTTCTGGTGATCGGATATGAAAAGGCTGGTTAATTCGCAAGCAGTTGGCTTCACAGATGTACTAATTTTGTCTCAGTTACAAAAAGTCCACACTGAGCTCAAGAAGGCTAATATCGACATTGTGATTGCTGATGAGGGTTGGTATCCTGGTACTCCAGTAATTATCTCATGCGTACACTAACACTACCTAGGACACCGTCTCAAGACGGAGAAAAACAAGGCAGCGCAAGCCATCAGAGCCTTGAATACACCGAGAAGAATCATACTCAGTGGCACACCGTTGCAAAACGATCTCCATGAGTTTTTCATTATGGTGTTAGTATTCTCCCCCGACTGATGCGCATGGTGTAACTGACCGAGGTGGTGATAGTGATTTCGTCAATTCAGGTCTACTGGAAAGCTACGCCACGTTCCGCAAGGAGTTCGAGAATCCGATCGTAAAGAGTCGCCAACCAGGTGCCTCTAAGAAAGATGTCGAAAAAGGTAAAGCCCGTAGCGACGAGCTGGCCAGAATCACCGCAATGTTTGTTCTCCGTAGAACGGCAGAGATCCTTTCCAAGTATCTGCCTCCCAAAAGTAAGTTGTCCATTCAATTCCAGTTTAATGATGCCAGTGGCTAACCAAACCAGAGGAATTTGTCATCTACTGCCGGCCGACATCCCGCCAACTGGAGGTATATCGCAACATTCTTAAGTCGTCTGCCTTCAACAAATGTCTCGGTAGTGCAGACAAGTCACTATTGTTGATCACGGTACTCAAGAAACTCTGCAATACACCAGGGCTCCTGGTGTCCGGAGAGAAAGAACAGAGCGAAAACGTGAAGGCCCTACTTGCTGAAGTGGATCCGAGGCTCCTCGCATCTAGAAACGCATCGTCAAGTGGGAAGCTTCGAGTCCTAAACCGCCTCCTCGTCACGCTCAAAAACCACACCGAGGAAAAAATCGTCATCGTTTCCAATTACACCAGCACCTTGGACGTCCTCCAAAACCTCCTCATCTCCCGCGGCCTCTCCTGGCTCCGTCTGGACGGTGGCACACCCAACGAGAAGCGCCAGCAACTAGTCGATAAATTCAACAATACAAACAGCAGCACATCCTTCGCTTTCCTCCTCTCTGCCAAAAGCGGCGGCGCAGGAATTAACCTAATCGGCGCCTCCCGCCTGGTCCTCTTCGACCTTGACTGGAACCCCGCCACAGACGCGCAAGCAATGGCGCGAATCCACCGCGACGGCCAAAAACACCCAGTATTCATCTACCGCCTCCTAACTACCGGCTGCTTCGACGAAAAAATCTTCCAGCGCCAAATCACCAAGCAAGGCCTAGCCGAGTCCGTCATGGACAACAAATCCGGCGCGTCAGCGTTCACCCAGGCGGAGCTTAGAGACCTGTTCTCGCTTAACGAAACGACGGAATGCCAAACCCACGACCTCCTTGGCTGCGCCTGCGGCGGAAAGGGCTACACTACTGACCCCATCGTCCCCGCGCTTACCGACAGCGACAGCGACGACGAACTCCTCTCACTGCCAGGGTTGATGAAGGCCTCCGCCGCGAGCGAGGACATCATCTCTGGCCGCTCCGTAAAGCAGGCCGTGGAGAAGGAGGCGCTGGGTGCATTGATGGAGTATGATCACGTTGCGACCAAACTGCTGGAACCCCCGGAATCGAGCGATGATTGGACGCGAGAGCTGGATGAGGACGTGGATTCCATGCCATATAGGGATATTAGTGTGGAGGATGAGGTGCTCATGCGTGTCCTGTGTGAGAAGGCGAAGATGGAGGAGGTTAGTTTTGTTTTCCAGAAGTGCTTTTAACGGACCATAAACACAGTGGTGCGTGTTTACGCTGCTATAGATGGTATCTCGATATGTGTTATGTGTTATGTACTGTATATAGATGGGAATCTGGGGGGGATAAGAGGATAAACTGCTTAGAAGCATTAGATGGTTACATTTTTTTGTTTGTTTAATCATTGATTGCGTGTTATGTAGATAGACCATGGCAATATATTCACACTCCGCCTCGCCCCCACGCTTCTTCGTCAGGAGATGCCATGAAAGAGGGAGTGGGGGGGGAACAGCGGCAGTGACCCCAGATCCTCCCCCTCGCTTCGGCTCCTCTCCGCGTGTCTTTCTTCCCGTTCCTCAAGCTCCCATTCAGAGACCTCACTTGCCTTTCTTGCTCAGCGCATCAGATGATTACAACGGATGGAGCATAGAGAGACCAAAAATTCTAGGGTGATACCGAGTGATTACACCGTGTTCCCACCACTAAAATTTGAGAGGAAAAAAAACTGCTAGTACTGTAAATGAGCCGCATCCAGTGTGCCGTCTTCTCTTCCGACCGCGTGAGTAGGTAGCCCTGAGACGTGGTTCATATGCCATCACTCGGCTTCACTGCGGAAAGAAAAAAAAGGGAAAAAAAGGGGGGGTTTTCCGTTCCTTTCTTTGCGGTGTAAATTATGGCGAGCTGCACCTCCTTCTATTGACCCTATTCTACTTCTCACATTCTCGAGTTCTCAGCAGTGCTGAATAAACATCGGCTGCATGCTCGTTGTCGACAAAGTCGAGGAGAGTCGCCGTGTCTTCCGTTCGAGCTCTCCCGGAGGATTAAAGCGATACCCGAGTGCCTCGGTGCGAATGCATGTAACAGGCTGAATGGCGAGAGAGGAACTTAGAAGTTCACGCCTGGAAGCTCTTGGAATAGAGTATTGTCAATCGAGACCTCTACTTGGTTCGAATTGCTACGGCAGTTGCCTCTGGAAGAGCTATGCTCGCCAAAATCCAGAACTTGGAATGTCATAATCCCCCCATCGAGATAGACATACGGGGTACACACGGAAAGACGAGGCTTGGAACAGTGGTTTTGGAAAAATGGGCTTGGAATCGGCTCGGTGAATGGGGATTGCGAAGGAGCCACTCGGTTAGAGTTGCGATCTAGTTCTCGGGAGATCGACAGTGGAAAAAAGTCTTGTCCGACCTTCCACCGCCACACTAAGCCGGCCCGCTTATCTACAGTTTTTCTTGCACCTGTCCGGGCCTCGTCACGAGCGCTCACTTGCTCTCTTGGTTTTTGATCGGACCGGCCCAGTTAACGGCTGCAAACTGTTCGACCTACTTAGCCCTACAGATCGGAAGAAGCAGGTACGGCTAGAGTTTTTGTTGATTTGCTCGATGGTCTTGCATGTTTAACGCCACCGGTATTTCAGCATGTACTCTACATGCCCCAGAATCGTCCGACTCGACAGCGGTGGGAGAAGACGCCGGATGGAGATGCTCGCGGAAGAAGGAGGGGCCGGGCCGATTCAGGCGAATACGCGGAGAAGAGATCGAAGAAGGGCCAAAGATCGAGAGCGCAGGCTGGGGGAGCTGCAGAACTGTTAGATGCCCCGCATGAGCAGCAACGTTTGTTGGCTAAAAATAGCGCAGCATCCAGGGCTTCGCCCCTCCGACTCGCAGCACACTTGACGATGTCGCCGACTCGCCGTGTATCTATCGCTTCGTCCAATCTGAGCTCGCTAAGCTTCTGGCCTGCTTCCGCTCCGGGAAGTTTTTTGCTCGTTTGGTGGCGATCGAGCACGCTTTGCAGCTTAGTCAACGGGCGAAGTGGGGCCATAAACGCGGCTCTGGCATCGTATATTCTCCCTTTTCCGGCGCACAGGAACCGTTCGACTCTGTAGATGTAGGCGGACCCGGACATAGAGAGTGAAAAAAAAAGGGAGCGAGAGGGAACTCTACTCTGGTGGGTCTGCTCACTTCTACCCGCCTCTTTGTCATACCCAGGTCGAACTTCGATTTTTGCAATACAGCGCGGCGGATCCTCGTTGCCCATCAGTCGTTACTCTCCATACCTCCCCCGGCCCTCCTCCACGCTCGCGAATCCCCCCCCCCTAGTCTCCCACCGTCCAGCTAGCCGATCTGTCCGTGCCTTCCACGTTTCTCACCACCGTGATAAGTCCTACATATCTCCTCCTGCGTCCCGACAAGCCCAACTTTTTCTCGGGAGTCCGAAAGGCCCATCGCTAGTCGTTCTTGGGATCTTGTCTCCAACGACAATGGCGTTCGCGTATCAGGGGTTCGGCTTCGGAGAGGTGCGATGCGATGCGCTCCCCCCCCCTCCTCTCCCCACCCCCCAACTGCGCTGCTGCTGCTTTCGTGAAGAAGCACTTCAGTGCAGAATCTCCCTTCCTCTTCATCCCCCAAAGCAAAGGAACCCGAGACCGTGTTGTGTGAGCGAGAGCGAGAGCGTGTATGTGCTGACTCTTGGGGCCCGGCATGCCTGCGATCCGTCTAGTTCTATAAAGCCCAACAGAAGCTGCAGGAGATCCTCGAAGCTTGTTTCCTCGGAGTGTTCGATGCGCCCACCACGTATCTGTCGCTAGCTCGGACTCTCGAAGGCCTGGCCGACAGGATCGAGCGCCTTCTTGACGAAAATGGAAATCCGAACTCGTCGATATTGCGCGCCGACAACAAGCCGCCGGCACAGCAGATGCTGCGCATAGCGAGCCATGGCCTCATCGAGAGCCTCAACCACCTCGAACGCGTGATACCCATCGACGAGGCCAGAAGGGACCCTGGGGATATGCGTGGTCACAATGTCGTGTACAAGCTGTCAATGCATGGCGAAGAGACCGTGCTGGGCGTCTTGACGGAAAAGTTCCGCTTTCAGACCTGGAAGTTAGATCTATTTTTCAAAGTGCTGCGCAAGTAAGACGGATTTTTTCAACTTCCGATTGCTTCTGTCGATCGTGTCTTTTCCTCGCCGTTGAAGACCTACTACGTGCTTCGTGGTGGTGATGGAGTGGTGGAGTGGCTTGCTGACGCAATCCCCACGATTAGGAGCAAAGTGTCGCAAACCCTCTCTGTCTACGATGGCGTTCAGAGACGCCTGGGAAAGCACTTCGAGGAGCTCGCCGCTCGGAAGTCGACGGCATCGTACAGCACCACGAGCAGCTACGGCGGAGCGGACTCCTCGGGAATCCAGGAAATCGACCTCATCCAGCGCTTCCAGGATGCGTGTGAGTTTGGCGGGAGTGGTCACAATTTTATCTGGAAACTTAAGCCCGAGAGCACGCTCTTAATCACACTACACTGGGTTTTCAACGTAAGCCACAGCACATATATCTCCGGGTCTGTGGTGATTGACGCCTGATGAATTCTCTCGCACACAGCTCAATCGAAATAATGACCCCAAGCAACTGCCCATCGAAGCCTATGTCAACCTTATGAAATGCTCCTGGTTGCTCAGGGTGACGACGCCCGAGGCCGGAGTTGAAGGTTTCTCGGATGAGGTGCGGACGATGATAGGTCTGCTCGGATGTGTGAGTATCTCCCACGTGTGGAAACGGTCGGATCATGCAGGGGTTAATGTGGGAACCACAGGATGTTGTGTATCGGCTTCAAGAATACTTTGACCAAGAAGTGGAACCGCCAACACCCCAGGAGCTGATGGAGCGTGGCAACTTTAGCATTTTCATTGACGGTATCAACAAGAAAGATATCGGTGCGGGTCTGGTGAGAACAGCAGTGCCGACAGCATTCCCTGGCGTTGAACCCGATCCGCCGCTCCGGTTGCCACTGCAAGTTGGCAACGGCGATTTCCACATGTCGGATTCGCCTTTCAACCGCTTCTCCCCCATCGAGGAGCCGGGCTCTGCAGGAACGGACTTGCGATCCAACAGTATGGACATCGACAAACGCCATCTGCCAGAACTTTCTATGGCATTGGCCGAGCAGCGCGGCGGCCCCTCGCGTTCCATATCTGCGTCCCCGTATGCCGGGGACAGAGATTTTCAAAACGAAAACGGCAGCAGCAGCGGGCCCTCCTCTCTTCACAGTGCATCGAATTCTATATCGTCGCTCGGTAGTGCTCGGATGGGCCACCTCGGAGTCGGAGTCGGATACTCTCCGGAGTTTTTCCCTACGACGCAGCGCATAGGCCAGCCACATTCAAGGCCATCAACCTCGGGAACAAGTGGCCCGCCTGCCCCGCGGAAGCTCAAACCGAACTATAGCTGGAACGAAATTGTGGACAGGGAGAATCTCGGCGTGAGACCGGGAGAGATAGAGATCCTTCCGAAGGATTTCGAACAGATGTGCGTTTTGGTCCTTCTCATGTCAACTAAGCCTGATTGAAAGCTGACCTGGTTGAAGGCACTTGATGGCGTCGTACACTGGAGATAGGCATGGTCGGTGGGACAACTGCCGTGTCAGGATTTTCAAGTTGATGTCGGACAAGACACTTCGGATGTTGACGCTGATGGATGGCTTGGAAGAGAGTATCGATCAGCGAGTCGGTGAGTGGCAAGCGTGGCAATCTTGGGTGGTCAGTGGTGGAGACTAAACAAGTAACTTCCATGTAGCATACGTCAAGGAGGCCGAACTTGTCCCAGATTATGGCTATCACCAAAACCACCCCATCATCTACATCCGCAAGACTCACAAGCAGGATCCGTTCTTACATGGAAACCCTCGGAAGATTGCCGGAAAACCTATGCCACCGAGCAGTCTCTACTACAAATTCAAGACCGCTCGCGGTATTTACTCTCGTGGGCATGCTGCGGGTGGTTTCGTTTGCTGACCGGCCCATCAGATATGTTCAACTTTCAGTTCGCACTACTCGGAGAAGCCGTGGAAACAGAGTGCCAAGCCGTGCGCACCGTGCGCTTCAAGAAGAGCCTTCGTGACGGCGAACACAGCCACTACAAAGCGCGTATCCAGCTCTGGAGGGAGGTGGACAACGACACGGAAGTTCTTGCCAGCGTCCCCAGCGTGGCGCCAACAGCAACCAGAGAAGCATGGGCGCGGCCGAACCTAAAAGTGCACACCACTCGCATGGTGATGTATTGGGATGAAACCATCACCACTTTCTTCAGTCTGTCCCCTCCCACCTCTTCCTATCGGGCATCGATCTAACATGCGAGTAGTTACCGACTCCATCGACATCGACATCCGCCACCAGCGGCGGTGCTCGGTCCGCATCCGGCCGAGCTCGCACAAAACGTTTCAGAACCCGACATCTGTAAAAGCCCGGACGTTCGGATCCCGGGAGGCACCGGGAGGCTTCCGGTTGGACAAGAAGGGGCTTTTCCCGGATGACGAAGAGAGCTTTGATGATTTCAAGTGGTTTGAGATCGAGTTCAATAGTCAGGAGGAGATGAACAACTTCTTCACCGAGTTCAAAAAGGCGCTGAATCTGCGGCGGAGGGAGCGCTGGCAGATCGATGAGCTCAAGAGGTTGGCCGCTAGAGGCGTGCCGGCGGGCGCCGAGGTCACGGTTACCCCGTCGCAGGCTGTAAGGAGATGATGGGAGATGCATGGTAGTTAGCTGGCGGGCAGAATTCTGGGACGTCTTTTGGCTGTTTGGCTCAACCACGATATTTTGGATTCGAGTGGATCTATTTTGCTTTTATTTTCGTTTTCTTTCTTTCTTTCTTTTCGGAGGGAATATGGTATGGTGTTTTGGGCGTCTCATTTCCTGCTTTATGAGCTCTCTCTCTCTCTCTCTCCCTCTCTCTCTCTCTCTCCCTCTCTCTCTCTCTCCCTCTCTCTCTCTCTCCCTCTCTCTCTCTCTCCCTCTCTCTCTCTCTCCCCCTCTCTCTCATCTGTGTTCTGTGTTCTGTGTTCGTATCTGCACCTTCGCGCGTCGGGGGCGTTCGGTTTTTCAAACTTCTTTTTTCTTTTTCTTCTTGATAGTTAGCCGTCAGTTCAGTTCGGGTGCGATGAACGAGGTCTGTATGAAACCGAGCTGTGCAATAGATTCGAACTGTCTACATCACATAGTCATATGGCAAGAGGCGCTTGTGTGCTTGCGCATGCGCGTGGCGGGGGGAAGGCCCTGGATCGGCAGTGCATAAACCGCCTACTCTATGTATGTACAGCTGCCCCACAGCGGGGCAGTGGGCAGTGGCTTGACTGCGTGTAGGACGACACTTCTTGGAGGAAGGTATGGCGATGAAGTGAGAATGACTTCTGCGAATGCTGTCTACATAGAGTGATTCCGCGAGTGAACATAGAGTTCATATGTCGAGTAAGGCTACGTCACTAACTAGCGTTGAGTTAAGCGGCTCTTCCCGCTCAGAACGACAGGCAGGCAGGAACATCATCTAGCTGCAGCTCCAATTCCATCTGTCGTCTCTCCCCACCACCCACCGTCGACCGCCCCGCCAACCCACCTACCACCTATCAGCTTTTCCAGCTGTACCAGGTGTACCACCGCCACTTCCATCACCTCACACCACCAGCCCCAACGATGTCGGGCGGATGGAATACGATTGAATCCGATGCTGTCAGTTCTCGGATGCGTCTGCATACCTAGCTTGGTGTGGCGAGAGAGAGAGAGAGAGAGAGAGAGAGAGAGGTAGCTAACGTACCGTCGCCTCCAGGGAGTGTTCACATACCTCGTCGAGAACCTCGGCGTGAAGGACGTACAGTTCGAGGAGATGATATCGCTGGACTCATCGTACCTACAGCAGCTTCCGTACGCTCCCCCGCCCCTCCCGTCCCCTCCCACCACCAACCCCACTAACCACCCCCAGCCCCGTCTACGGCGTAATCTTCCTGTTCAAGTACCCCGTGGGGGAGAGCAAACCCTCGGATGGCACTGCGGCGGATGGCACGTTCGACCCCGGGGCAGCCGAGAACCTATTCTTTGCAAACCAGGTCATACAGAATGCGTGCGCGACGCAGGCGATCCTGTCGGTCCTGCTGAATCGTGCGGATATCGACGTCGGAAAGGACCTAAAGGATTTTGGAGAGTTTACGCAGGCGTTTCCGAGTGATGTAGGTTGCTTTTCCGTGATGGCGGGGGGATGGGGTGGGGTGGGGATGGGCTGGGGGATGGGGGATGGGAGAGTGGCGGGCTGATTTGGGTGTTGGGACAGCTAAGAGGCGAGGCGCTCTCGAACTCGGAGCTAATCCGGACGGTGCACAACTCATTTGCGCGATCGTCGCCGTTCGTGGACGAGGGGTCGCGGGCCGCGACGGAGGATGACGACGTCTACCACTTCATCGCGTACACCTCGCTGCAGGGCTCCTTGTACGAGCTCGACGGGCTGCAGCCGGCGCCGATATCGCACGGCCCTTGCACCGACGCCGATTTCGCAGAGAAGATCATTCCCATCCTGCAGCGCCGCATAGGAAGATACCCTGCCTCCGAGATAAGGTTCAATCTGCTCGCGATGATTCAGGATCCGAGGGTCAGAGCGAGGGAGATCGGTGATGAGGATACGCTGGCACGTGAGGAGCAGAGGAGACAGGCCTGGCTCTGGGAGAATGAACTCAGGAGACATAATTTTGTCGGGTTCGTCCATGAGGTTGCCAAGGCGGTTGCGAGGAAGAAGTTGAAGGAGGGCGCGTTTGAGGTGTGGATGGGCCAGGCGAAGGAGAAGGCGAAGTCGAGGCACGCGAATAGGAAGCAGGCGGCGGCGGCGGCGGGAGGCGATGAGATGGAGTACTAGGATTCTACCTACATACTGCGGATATGCTCGGCGAGATCGCGAATCATGTCCTTCACTGTGTAGAGATCGTATAGCGTATACCTACCTCATACTCGCACATTCCGTCCCAGCGATTGGCTTATGCATATGTTCGGGGGATGCTCTAAAAGGGGAAGCGTTTACATCCTGCCATAATATGTATGATAAACCCAACGAACGAGATGTATGTACCGTATGCATGCCATATACGGGGTTTAAGAATAGTAATGAGATGTACCTACTACCTACTGCCTATCGTTGGCGAGACGAGGTGAGTGATTCAGGGACGTCGCAGATCTCATTGGTGTGGTTACAGGCGCAAAGACTGGGCAGTTTGATGATCTGACGGGTGTCTCATGCAAGCGATTCGGCCGCGGGCTGTGAGTGTGTTGGCGTGAATGCTTAGCCTCACGAGGCAGGAAGGCACTGGGCAGCGCCTCGGGCTGGGTGTCGGACGTGGGCCGGGTGGTTGGGGCGGAAGAGAAGGGGGGAAGGGAGAAGTTGGCCGCGACGGTGGTCATGATGAAACGCCGGTAGTCACCGGCAGACGGCCGTGGTCTTTGCTGGCTTCCTGGCCTCGGGAGCGCGGAGTATGTGTGATAACTTCAACATCCACTCTCCCGACGCCACTCTTCCGGAGTCACCTGTAGGCCAGTTGTTGTGTATTCTACAGCACATACTTCTGCCTGTCAATTCTGCTCTCCTGTAGATAACTACGGAGCACAGATATTCCGGCCGTTCCCTCCCTCGGGTTCGAGCACACGACACGGCCTCTCCTCCGCAGACGCCCGCCCCCGCTCATCCCCGCCAGTGCCAGTGCCAGTGCCAGTGCCAGTGCCAGTCCGGCCGTAGTGCGGCTAGGCTAAGCCCTGCAACAGCGATAGTTACATAACCCCATGCGCCGCTGGGTACAGCGCCTCCAAGTCAAGTCCCCGTTCGTCCAAATCACGCCAAGGCATAGGTAACAGTCCCACTGCCATCCATCCATCCATCCCTTCCCTTCCTTCTTCGCCTGCCTCGGAGCAAGCAAGCAAGGCAACAGAAAACAAAACCCTACATACCTACGCCTATGCCTATGTCTGGGTCTGCGCTTTATGTGATCTATTCTACGTAACGTAACAGCGCGGATCTGACTTACTTCTCTCTTACGTACTGTGCTGCTGCTGCTGCTTGATCACTTTACTTTACTTTCTTTTGCTTTGACGAGCGAAACTGCTCACTCAACAAGAAGAGAAGGCGAAGGCGTTTCTTGCTTGTTCGCTCTTATCCGGCAAAACCTCCGCAGCTGACACTGATCGGGCGAGTCGAGCTCTCTGAGTCTGAGCAACCACCACCACCACCACCACCACCACCACCACCACCAACGAGTCAACGACGGCTCGCACTGCACTGCACTGCACCCATCACCCAACACCCACCACCACCCACGCCCACGCCCACACCAACCGACAACGACGACAACCTCCAACACCACCCTCCGCGCCGCCGCCGACGAAGAAAATCGAAAAGAAAAGCCGCGAACTTGGAAGCCGTCGCCTATTACGCAACCCTAAATGGCGGCCTCCCCACCGCGGCGACGCGCCCGGCCCACCCGCATCAGCAGCAGCAGCAGCTACTTCCCCGCCCCGCGCTACAGCCCGACCGCATCGGCGCAACAACAACAAGTCCACACAATGCCGTACCTACTCGCCTTGCCCACACCATCGGCACCATCACCACCGAGCGGCGGCGGGGGGGATAACGGCGCAACCGGCCGCGGCATCATAATCGGGCTGCTATCGGCGTTCGGCTCGGCGGCGCTGGTGGCGCTGGTTTTTGCGTTCATATACTTTTTGCGATACACCACGCGCGGCCGGATACTCCTTGATGCCCTGGGAAGACCGGGCGAATATGATGATGAGGCGCTCCGGGCAAAAGAGGAGGCTGAGGCTATGGAGAGAATGGATGAAATGGAGAGGTTGGAGTATTTACGTGCTAAGTGTCAGTATTCTCCCTTTCTCTCGTGTGGGCGGTGTGGGCGGTGGGATGTTGGGTTGGGTTGGCTGGGGCTGATAAGAGGTGTGTAAAGCGTTCGTCGAGGCAAATCCGCCAGACTCGGTCCCGACGGATATAAGTTTGTCACAATTCCTGGCCATCCAGGAGAAAGGTGTATCGGCGTGGGAGTTCGAGGCGGAACTGGAGATTGCGAATTGCTTTGTTGAGGCGCGGACGGAGGTGGAGTTCTACGACTCGGTGTGTTCGGTCCAGAGCAATCTGCCCGTTCCAAAGCAGAATGAAGTTTACTATTGGGAGGCGAAATTGTACGACAAACCTGAGAACACGCTGGTTTCCATTGGCATGTCGACGAAGCCTTACCCGATGTTTCGGTTACCTGGTGAGCCTGCTTCGAAGGGGGTGGGAACGATTGGTGATCGATCGCCTACTGACTTTTGGCGACGGCAGGATGGCATAAGCACTCCCTCGCGTACACCTCGACCGGCCACCGCCGCCACAACCAACCTTTCGCGGGCACAGCCTATGGCCCCGCCTACATCCAAGGCGACGTAATAGGCGTTGGGTACCGACCGCGCAGCGGTACCGTCTTCTTCACCCGCAACGGCAAAAAACTCGACGACGTAGCGCACGGGCTCAAATCCTTCAACCTGTTCCCGACGCTCGGCGCGAACGGCCCGTGCACCGTGCACGTCAACTTCGGCCAGCTCGGCTTCGTCTTCATCGAAGCCAACGTCAAGAAGTGGGGACTCGCACCGATGAACGGCTCGCTCGCGCCGCCGCCGCCCTACGGCTCCGAGCACGGCAGCATCCTCCTCGAGGCCGGCCAGCGCGCCCCCGCCGACGGCGGCCGTGGCGGCGAATACTTCGACCACGGCCGCGGCCGGGAATTCGGCACCGACCACCACCAGCCCACCTCCCCCGGCCCCGCCCGCAGCCCCAACGAAATCGGCCTTACAGACATCGAGCACCTGCACCACCACCACCCGCACCCGCACCAGCATGAGGTCGTCATCCGCGTCGAGCCGCCGCCCGACTACGCCAGCCACACCAGCGGCAGTAGCTCTGAGGGCGAGGAGGAGGACGCCGGCGTAGACGCCGCGGGAAGAAGACGCGCGAGGAGGGAGCGCGAGCGCGCGAGACTGCTCGGTCAGACTCCCGCGTATAAGGATATTGTCCGTGAACGGAGTCCTGGGAATGGTGGCAGGTGGAGAAGCGGTAGTGCTCCTGCCGCTGCGGGACCAAGTGGGTCGCGTGCGTGATGTTGCTACATTATGTAGCTGGCAGGCTTCGCGTTATCTTCATTTTCGTTTTCTATTTTTCTTCAATGCATGGAGGTGGTATTGGTTCGTTGGTTCGTTGGTTGTATGGCAAAGGGGGGAGTTCTTGTGTGTTTTGCGTTTCCGTTGGCTGGTTGAGTCCAGAGAGTGGGTTGAGTGGGATTGGGATCATTCATTGCTGTTGCTAACTATTCATCATCATCATCATGACTCTCTCTTTTCTTTTTACTCTATTCTACTCTATTTGTGTGTGATCTCTGAGCTTCCTGCATGTTTGCATATATCTACTGGCTGTGATATGCTGTGCTGTGATATAGTGGGATGTATCTAGTGGGATGTAGTGGGATGTAGGTTAGTGGGGAATGGAAGATCATACGATGTCACCCGCAATTGGCACTTGAGACTTGAGGTGTATGTATGAAAACCATGGTATCGCATTCTTTAGGACGTATCCTACTATACCCTCCATCGCATCCCATCGCATCCCATCAAAGTCGTAAATCACAATCACAATCACAATCATCTCAAATACAAAGCCAGCCAAGCACACAAAGCCAATCAAGCCGCAAAGCCACAAAGCCAAAAAGCCACAAAGCTATCACACGTAACAAAGACTACCTATTCAAATGGCAAAAAAACCCACCTCCCAGTGAGAACAAGCAGTCAAACAATCACAGCACGCCCTCGACGACCTCCGCGCCCCTCGCCTCGGCCGGCTGGGGCATCTGCTCATCGTCATCACGCTCCCTCTCCGCACGCTCCCTCTGCTCCCTCTCCTCGCGCTCCCTCTGCTCCCTAGACCTTACCTCCTCCTGCTGGCGCTCGATAGCATTGACGTGGCGATCATGCCATCCGGGCACCAAACTGGCCATGAAGATCATCACCGCGCGCTCCGCGTTCCTGATCACATCGCGCATGCGGTCCTCTTGGCGGTTGATCAGTAGCTGGGCGGTATTTGCTGGGTTGAGTGGGTGCTGCTGCTGCTGCTGCGGGTTGTTTCCGGGTGGTGGCGGGTAGATAGCCTCGACGAGCGGCCGCACAATGTCGTTCATGATGCCGGTCTGCCAGATGAAGATGATGACGGCGATGGAGCCGAGGTACAGGGTGCGGCGCCAGCCGCCGTTGCCGGTGAACAGGATCACGAACACGGTGAGTTTTAGTGCGAGCCAGAGGTGCGCTGCGCGGTCGCGGATCAGGTGCTGTAGGTTTATGCGGCGGGCCGGCGGGTGCTCGGCGTACAGGGCGCGGCGGAGCTCCTCCATGTGCCGTGGCGGAGGTGGGACGCCATTTGGGTAGGGGTTGGGGTTGAAGCGGGGAGGGGGGAGGGCGGTGTTGGGGATTGCTGGGGGGAGGTGATTGGAGAAGTAGCGGGGTGGGGCTTGGGCGCTGCCGACGGGGCCAACTAGAAGGGAGTGCGGCCGGCCGAGACGGTCTTGGAGGAGGAAGACGGCGCTGCTGGAGGGGATGGCTCGTTGCGAGATGTGCAGGGGCGCGGTGGCGAGGCCCTCTTCTTGGTCGAGTTGGCGGAGCTCGGCGAGGAGTTCGCGACGGCGCGCGGAGGTGTCTGGGCGCGGGGAGAGCGGCGTGTTGGCGGTGGGATTCACACTGTGCAGTGGTGCATCCAGATTGGCTGCCGGCTGCTCCAGCGTTGGTATCGTAGGAGAAGCCGAAGCCGGCGCCGTAAAGCTCGTCGACGGCTCTCCGCCAAGCGGGCGCGTCCCACTGGCAGGTACTCGCGCCTGCGCACCCGGAAGCGATACACCGCTGCTCACCCCAAAACTCACGCTTCCAGATCCTCCGGCATTCAAAGCTGCCCTCTCCGCACGTAGCCGTTCCAGAATCTCAGTTTGAGCTCTCACTGTCTGCCGCAGCTCCCCCATGGACATCGGTCCACGGTCCAGTCCCGGGACCAAGCCAGTGAACGGGCGTAGCAGTGGATTGTTAGCTATGTGCGCGGGAACAGGAGGTCGAGATGAAGTCGAGGGTAGGATTCGAGTCGGCTCCTGCGCCTGCGCTTGCGGACGGAATGCGGCGGTCGTGGTTTGGGCGGTGGACACGTGCGGCGGAGGACTAACGACCAGATGCAGCGTGTGCACCTGCTGCTGCTATACGTCGAACGGGTCAGCAAGCTTGCATGTTGGGTACAGTACAGGAGCTTACGTCTCCGATCAGAGCATCCTTGACAGTACAGCTCCCGTCCAGTATCTTGCCCCGGTAGATCACGCGCTGCTGCTCCAGCGTTGGGTTGGATTCCAGCGAGGCTTTGATCAGTAGCTTTAGCGCGTTGATGGTTGTGTTGCCGTCGACCGTGTAGGCCAGGTCAGCGGGCACGCCGGGGGAAGGCGACATTATCTTGAGGCTGATCTGGGAGGCGTTGGCACTGGGGGGAGGAGTGCTTGCCATGGTGGCTACGGGTGGGGGTTAGGGGGTTGGTGTGAGCTTGAAGATGGATTGTCGGGCGGGTTCGGGAGCTGTGTGTGAGGTAGACTTTGAGGTGGAGAGTACACGTAGAATGATTGCGGTAGTTGTGGTAGCTGTGGTAGCTGTGGTAGTTGTATTTGTTTATGGAGCTCAGTGTTTGCTTTGAATATTGTAGTGGGTGGATTTGGTTAGTGCGTGTTGCGAGAGCAAGAAAGGTGCGGGTGCTAAGGTAGGCTGCCAAAGCAGTAGAAACGTGCTGTTCTCGGGCCTTTTGCTGCAGGGCCGACGGATATTTGTCTCCACCGTGTCATCTCGTCATCGAGCGAGAGCGACGACATCTTTGCCGGCCTTCTTGCTCGGGTAGCTATCGCGTGTTACCCGGTCGGATAGCTGGTCGAGTGCCAGTTACCCGGCTGTGTGCTTCGATCCTGCTCATTGCGCTCACAGTCAGGCCGCCAATCGCTACTGCGGACCGTTGTGTTCGGATTGACTGCTAGGAAGTCTGATGACCTGGTCAATACCTCTTCTCCAAAGCCTCGTCATGTCCGTCTTCCAATGTGAATATCTTCATCGACCCACCACAGCAATCGTCACCGTCGGCGTCGTCCCCGGAATGCCTGCTATTCACGCAGAGACACCCCGGAAAGGGGCCCATGTCCCGCCCGCGTGGCTGCATGGAGTATAGCCGAAACCCCTCCACCACCTCACTGCTGGGCATTCGTCCCTGTGTGGTGCACATCCCAAGAACGAAAGGAAGGAGAGTTACGCGGCCTGCTGTCAGTCCTGTGGGGAGAGCGAACAATAGTCTCCATCTACACGTAGATATTACGCCTTCCCTTCGCCTCATATCCGTCCGATCCTCCTCGACCATAACTCCGCCGCCAATTCGATATCCTGCTGTCCCGTCGACCTTCAAAACGATAACCCCCCGTACCAGTATATATCCGTGCACTTCTATTCACTCGTTTCGACCGCAAACAGCAACACAAGGCTTGGATTGTAGACCGATGATTCACCGGATCTCTTGGCTCTGTGTTGTCCTCGATTGAATCCATCCACTCCTTAGCCAGCTCCCCCGACGTTCTTTGTCCTCTCCAGCTCGCCTAGTCGAACGCTGCTGTTCCACTGCGCACACACTCGATCCATAGCAACCATCCACTATGTTACAACTCCGAGCGCTGGTTACTCCAGCTTTCGCCAATCGCTTCTTCACCGCGTACACCTGCGCCATCGTCTTTGCCGTTATCCTCCGATACTGCTTCTTTGGTCTGCACCCTCCGCATTAGGCGCAGTGTCGCGTGCCCTCCCCCAAAACCTAACTTTGGGCCGGCCAGAAACTAAAACCGAAACTGAGACTGACTTCGACAGATGCGCGGGATCCCTCGAAATGCGGCGCCCTGATGAATGAGGGCGTGTGGCTCGACCAACCTCTCGAGAAACATAGCGACTATGTGCCCCGGGAATGGCAGCCGCCCGGGTGCATGATCCACAACTACAAGCCGGCGGACATCTCGACGTGTCTTTCCGGTCGCCGCGTCGTGTTCGCCGGCGACTCGACGATCCGACAGCTGTTTTGGGGCGTGGCGAAGGCGCTCGATAAGGATGTCGACATGAGCAAGGCGGAGATGCACTCGGACATCACCGTGGAGCATGCCGGGGTCACCATGGAGTTCTACTGGGACCCGTTCCTCAACTCGACCTCTACCAACCGCGAGATTGATATGTTTGAGGGCGATAAATACTACCGCGAGAACTCGAATAGAGCCGCCTTGATGCTCATGGGATCTGGGCTGTGGTATGCCCGGTTCGAGACGGTCAATGGTATGAAGAAGTGGAAGGACAACATCGATGGGATCGCGCAGCACATGCGATACGGCAGGAAGACGACGGATCTGACACACCAGGATTTGCTGTTGCTCGCGCCTGTTCCTGTCCCGGCGTTTGAGAAGCTCAACGAGGATCGTCGGAGGACTATCACTCCCCAGAAGATCTTGGAGATGGACCAATACCTGCAGCAGCTGTCGGATATCCAGGGTATCGATGTTGTGTGGGCTCTGGCTGTCATGACTCGGGCCATGCCACAGACTTTCGAGAAATCCGGACTTCATTTGGTCGATTCGGTAGCGACCAAGCAGACGGATTTGTTGCTCAACCTTCGATGCAATGCCATGCTCCCGCCGAAGTATCCCTATGACAAGACTTGCTGCATGATGTATGAGCCTCCGAACTATCAGCAGTGGGCGGGTTTATTCATTGTGCTGGCCGTTCTTCCCGTGATGTCGTATCTTAGAAGCAAAGGTGTGCCCATCAACATCTCTTCGGTCCATCTCAACTAATATGGTGGCAGCGGAAGCGAAAGGAACTAGCCCCCCTCCATGGTTGCCGTCCGACAAGATTACACATGCCCTGCTTGTGTTTGGGCTTTCAGTCGCATACTGCTTCTACGCGGACCGTACGCAGGTGTTCAACAAGTTCCACAAGCATTACACCACGTTCGGATTCCTGAGCATGACGCTGACGTGGCTTGTCATGGGATATCTTACCGTTGGAAGGTCGGCCATCAATGTCCCCTCGCAGCCATTCCTGTCCCGCCACCAGACGGACGAATGGAAGGGGTGGTTGCAGTTTGCGATCCTCGTCTACCACTACACCGGGGCTTCCAAGATCCCGTGGATTTACGGCTTCATCCGAATCACAGTGGCGGCATACCTCTTCATGACTGGATACGGCCATGCGGCGTACTTCTACAAGAAGGGTGACTATTCGTTCAAGCGTGTGGCTGGTGTTCTCATCCGGCTTAACCTCCTCAGTTGTGTTCTCCCCTACATGATGAAGACGGAATACATCTTCTACTACTTTGCCCCGTTGGTAACTTTCTGGTTCATAATCATCTACATCACCATGCGCATTGGATCTCAATACAACGGCAACATGCGCTTCCTTGTGTCTAAGATCATTGTTTCTGCCTTCCTAACCGCGCTGCTCGTCAAGTATCCCGGCGTGCTGGAGGCGCTCTTCGAGATCCCGCGTGTCATCGCCGGCACGCAATGGAACGTTGCAGAATTCCGATTCCGTCTCTCCCTCGATATGTGGATCGTGCACATCGGCATGCTCACGTCTATCCTCGCTGCAAAGCTCAGTGACGGCTCCTCACCCTACTCCGGCAACCTCCCCCGACTCCGCATATACGCCATCAGCGCCTCCTGCGTCTCCCTCCCCCTCTTCTTCCTCTTCCAGACCACGCGGGAGACAAAATTCATCTACAACGGGTACCACCCATACATCTCGTTCATCCCGATCCTATCCTTCGTCGTGCTCCGCAACGCCACACCCAAGCTCCGGAACTGCCACTCTTCCATCTTCGCGTGGCTCGGGAAGTGCTCGCTGGAAACCTTCACCCTGCAGTTCCACATCTGGCTTGCCGCCGATACGCGCGGCCTGCTGGGTCTGAACCTTACCGGCGCCTACGGGAGAGGCACGAACTTTGCCCTCGCCACCGCGCTGTTCCTGTTCACGAGCCATTGTGTCGCTGGCGCCACGCAGGACCTGACTGGTTGGATCATGGGCGTGCCGGAGCCGAAGCAGGCGTTGCCGACTTCGAAGGAGGAGGCGGATAAGGACCGGGCCGAGAAGGGCCTGGGGCTGAAGGTGAAGTGTGCGATTATTTTGGCGGGGTTGTGGGCGCTTAATATGGTATATTCCGGATCTTTCTTGGGGGTGAGAGGGCGGGAGGATTATGGCTAACTAGCGATATCAGACATACACCCCGTGAGAGAGTAGTGTATTGAGTAATCGGGCGGATGTGTAGATTCCGGTAGATGAAGTTTCTTGTACGATTTGAGTGTACGATTACTATTGGAGTGGGTCTTTGGATCGGGTCATTGGATCATGTATTGAGTAGACGCTGGTGTTGGTACTCGTATGTACTGGGTCCTATGCAGTGCTCGTTTCGTTCGTTTCGTGGATAGCGCATCATAGCTGGACACTCGTAGCAGATTCAAGTGACATGATTGTAGGCCTTATCGACGACTTTTGACTGAAATTGGCCAAATTAGAATACAAAATGAAATCTATGGCCCGGATAAACCATGCACACATAGTATAAGCTCCCGCCGGTAGATAGATGCCATATAAAACCATCTGGGATAATTGCCGAACGAGACATGCACATGCAAGTACACAGCAGGAATCACCGAATCGGCAGGCCGCCGTTGTCTGCCTGAGAGCGGAGTAAAGACAGCACAATAGCAATAAATACAGCGCGGGTGAGCAGTCCCTCCTCCCTCCTCCCTCCCACCGCTCAGCTCAGCCATGCGCCCAGCACGCATCCTATATCTCGCCGCGCTCCCGCTCGCGCTCGCGGCCAGCCCGGACGCCGACACAGGCGCCGACACGCCGCACTACTGCAGCTACATCTACGTGGGCGGTTCATACGCGCCGTCGCCATCCAACTTCAGCGAGCGCGTGCACAGCGGGCAGATGTACGTCGAGCGTCTTACCCCCTCCCTGTCCCCCCCCCCCCCCCCCCCCCACTTGCGCCCATCCTCCTCCTCCACGGCAACGCGCAAACCGGCACCAACTTCCTAACCACGCCGAACGGGCGTTCGGGCTGGGCGTCGCACTTCCTTTCCGCCGGGCACACGGTGATCCTTCCGGACCAGACGTTCCGCGGGCGCTCGCCGACCCCCTCAGGATGCTGGCTAGTGGAGTACTCGGCCGAGTTTATTGCGCGGCAGTTTACGGCGCCGCGGGGGTGGCCGCAGGCACAGCTGCATACCCAGTGGCCCGGGGCGGGAACCCCCGGGGACGAGGTGTTTGATAGGTACTATAAGAGCACCGTGCCGTTTGAGGGGAATGGTACGCTGCAGCAGGAGCGGATGCGGGAGGTGTTGTTGGAGTTGGTTACTGGCGAGGAGGTGGGGGATAGCGGGGTAGTGGTAGTCGCGCATTTACAGGCGGGGTTGTTTGCGTGGGCGCTTGCGGATGCGGTGCCAGGGAGGGTGAGGGCGCTCGTTGTCCTGGAGCCGAGTGGGCCGCCGTTTAGGGAGAGGGTGCGGAGTACGGCTCCCGCGAGGAGGTGGGGGGCGACGGATATTCCGCTGGTGTATGAGCCGCACGTCGTGGATCCTGAGACGGAGTTCAAGTTGGTCGAGGTCGGGCTGGATACGCCGGGGAATGCGAGCTGCTTGTTGCAGCGGGAGGCGCGGTTAGGGCGTTAAAGAGGCTGAGTGATGTGCCCGTGCTGCTGGTCACCGCCGAGGCGAGTTATCATGCCGTCTATGATCACTGCACGGTGGCGTTTTTGAGGCAGGCCGGGGTTAAGGTCGAGTGGATGAAGCTGTTGGAGAAGGGGCAGCGCGGGAATGGGCATATGTTCTTCATGGAGAAGGATAGTCGCGAGGTGTGGAAGTTGGTGGAAGAGTGGATCACGGGATTGAAATAGAGCAGCAGACGGGAGCGCGACGGGAGCTAAACAGCAATCAATAGTGTGTGTATATTGATCCTATGAAAGTCTTGATTTCGATATCTAGAGGAAAGTGAAAAAACGTGGACTCATATACGTGCGAGAGCCAGTCCTTCAATCTCCGGCTTACGCCCTCTTCTTGCCCCTCATGTTCTTCCTCCTCTGGCGGATCATGTGGGTGTACTGGTTGTACAATCCTATCTCTGTCAGCAGTCGTCCCCTCCTCGGAGTAGTGATTCACTTACCAGGTCCGTATGTGGCCAGAATAGCAACCAGAACCCAATAGTAGGTTTCGTTCTTCGCGTAGACCTCCGGGAGCGCACGGAAGATACACCACGCCTCACTACCGGCACCAAGGGGATACAAGATGAAAAAGGTATTGTACCTCAACCAGTTGAGGACACCGCCGCTGCCGCCAGACAGGTTGATCACGTAGTAAGTGTAGCGACAGACCTCGGTGATGCTCCAGGCGATGAGCATGGACGTGTAGGCGTTGCTCTGCTGGGGCGCCGAGAACCGGTCGCAGACGCCCCACACGAGGAGCAGACGCGAGGCAACCTGCAGGATCGTGGTCGGCAGCGAGGAGCGGAGGAGCCCGAACGCGATGTGGAAGATCTCGAGGATCGCGAGCGTCTGCACCCATTTCGTGTAGTCGCCGAGGGATTCGTGGATGTGCGTGGGCCCGACGAGAGGGAGCAGGAGCACGGTTCGCCCGAGGACGCCGGCCCAGAGCGCCGCGGAAAGGGCGTTGTAGGCTATCAGGCTGGAGGGACGCGCCGGGTCAGCATGTGGGAAGGTTTGTGGGGTGTCGTGGAGGAACTACTAGCGCGTGGAGACCGAGGCTGTTTTTCTACTCTCCATTGTGGGTGTGTTGGGTAGGTGATTGGGATGCGGAGTTATCGGTGAGATGTGAAGAGAGTGTGGGGTGAAGGTTGTGGGGTTTATAGGGATTACGATTGCGAGCGAGGCCAGGTGTTTTTTTTCGTTGGGAAGAACCGTTGGGCCTTGGGATATGTAGGGCCGGCTGTGGTGAGAACTGGACACTCCGGAACGGGGAAACGATCATCCGGCCAAAAATCCAACACACAATATATCGCAGTGACGATAGATATTCCGATGAAGTCGGTCGTTTTACTTTCTTTTTTCTCAGTGCACAGCTATTCCCGGTTCACAAAATACCGGTATTTCCATCCTCAAGACTCGGACCATCCGATTCGGATTGCTTATGCTGATCTTGTCTTATAACCTCTTATCATCACCATCATCATCATGCGCTGCTCAGTTCTTCAGTCGGATCCGGATTGCTCATCGGGTCCGGACTGCTCATCGGGTCCGGACTGCTCATCGGGTCCGGACTGCTCATCGGGTCCGGACTGCTCATCGGGTCCGGACTGCTCATCGGGTCCATCTTCAACCGGTGGTAACTCTTTTTCGGGAGCTGAGCGCTTCGGCCAGCTGAAATCCGGGCGCCAGCCGAAATCCGGGCGCCAGCCGAGACTCGGACGCCAGCTGAGATCCGGACGCCAGCCGAGATCCGGACGCCAGCCGACACTCGGCCGCCAGCTAAAATCCGGATGCCAACCGACACTCGGACGCCAATTGAAATCCGGATGCCAACCCCCCTCCGACACCCAGGTTGTAATTGCGGGCTGATAGATCTTGGTTGGATCGCTACAACCGGCGAAGTTGCAGGGCCCGGAATTGCTGGAGCAGATGCCGGACAGATTGCATAGCATGCAGCTGCCCAGCAGGACTGCCAGGGTCCCCATGAATCGTGATTGCGGCTGCATCGGTTCGTGTTTCGTGTGCCGTGTGTCGTGTGTCGTGTGTCGTCCTGTAGGAGTGTTGGTTAGTGGAGGCGAGGTATGGTAGGTATCAGACGGGTTGGAGCACGGTGATTTGCTATATGGCCTGGAAAGACTCGAGATGAAGGATGAATTATGAGTGATGGTGATGGTGCATTCAACTTGCTCCGCTCTATATGAAGTACCTAAACGACTGGTGAATACAACCACAAAGGTTAATGCAGAGGGAAGGTGGAATGGGGGCACGTAAGGTATTCCGGCGAGTGGTGCCGGGAGTCTGAATGGGAGGACGACAATGAACGTGACCGGCTGGGTGAATCTAAATCACTCGACAGGACCTGGCGAATGGTGGCAGCAGGAGCTATTGGGAGTTGTGTATCCACCTCCCGGCGGTTTGCTTGCGCAACCTATTCACACATAACCGTCTCACCCTGCCGCACAACAACAAACAAGCGTTTGTTTCATAATGAAGCATTCGACCTATCTACGCAGATCAAGGCATATCACCAGGACCCGAGTCCCTTCCCGATCAACGATAAAACAAAAATCACAGCGCGGATCTCCCCAAAGCCGCCAAAGACAATTAGAAAACGCACCAAGGGTAAACTCGAATCCACCCCTGCCCTCACCGTGGTCAGAGGCCGCCCGTGAGTGATCTTCCATGCCTTACACTTGCTTACTCTACACACATACATCATACCGGTACATGCCATCCAGGCTCCAGCAACCAAGTTGCAGATCACAGCCGCGCTTACTTCCTTCCTTCCTTACTTAATTACTTACGATCCAGATCCAGGTACGGTACGGTACGTCGGTACCTTATGTACCCAGGTATCCACCGAAATATCTTCCAGATCCGCGCTTACGCTCGACTGCACACTGTACCATGTCGATCGTCGGGCGCGGTATAACCACATAACCACATAACCACATACCTAGTACAGTACTAATAGTACAGTCATGCTCTCGCAAGACATGACAAGGCTCGAACAACATATCATCTCACAGTTTACTGACCGGACGATGGAGGATCGCAGTGCCTTATCTGCTATATCACAAGCGAAAGCGAATGGCAAGGCCGGGCCAGGCCACCGTGGCGTTGTTGGATTTATATATGGACGGATCGGGGAAATATTTCTCTGGCCTTGGCTCAGGAACTGGAACGAGAGCATGTATGCATTTCCTCCGATTACGTGTTGACAGTGCTGCTGCCGGTGCTGCAGGGTCGGGTCGTGACTCGTACGGCGGCGGAGGAGGTATCTACACTTACATTTGCGCTGGGCGCGGGGCAGCAGGTAGGCACATATCCAGGTACGGCATCGTAAAAAAAAACGGTAGGGTATGTACGCATTGTGAAACTGAGTAAAGCACGCGCGACATCGGCAGGATACCTAGGTTACATCATAAGAGTTTATCCCCTGCTCTCCAACCAACCCGTTTCCACAGTCACGACCCCGGATGAATGTATCACGTATCATGTATGATATGTACGATGTGTATACCCAACCGCGAATCAGTACAGGAAAAGCCTATCCTTCGCATCCTGCACCACCCAGTCAAGCCCTTCGAACAGGTTTTCGCCTGTCATGGCGCTGCAAGGCAGGATCGTCCATTTGTGGGACTTGATGTCGTCGAGTCGCAGGCCCTGGATGAATCGTCAGCTTCGCGGTTCTATCTGTAGACGAAATTACGGTGCTCTGTAGGAGCTTCATGATCCTCACGTGCGTCCTGATGCCCAGCGATATCAGGGGGAACGTGGGGGTGGAGGGGGGTATCGAATGCCTACCTCTCGGATCTCCTGAAGGTCCATACACCCACTAACATCGGTCTTGTTGGCGAAGACGAGCAGACTGGCACCGAGTAATCTCTGCAGCACGTACCATAGTCGGCAAAACCGTCTTCAGCTAGAATCGAGAGGGAGGGCAACGTACATACCTCTTGCTGAAGCAGGCCGGCAAGCTCCTCGGCACAATTTTCGAGACGGAAACGGTCGGTGGCGTCGACAACCCAGATCAGCGCATCCGTCTTTTCGAAGTAGTTGCGCCAGTAGCTTCGCAAAGTCTTTTGGCCGCCGACATCCCCTTTGGCCGCGTGTTAGCTTCTTCTTCGATGCGGGAAACGAGAGCCCCCCCCCGTAGCGGCTTCCACCACTCACAGATGTTCAACTTGTAGCTATAGATATCACCGGATTAGCTACCGGCCACAACATCTATCGCCCATCGCGCGGCCGAACACACGCGGACGGACGGACGGCGCATGCAAGCACGCACCCTTGGTAGTCGATAGTCTTGATGATGAATCCCAGCGTGGGACTGACGGTATTGACGTCCTCGTTCATGATGCACTTGACAATGGTAGTTTTCCCCGCATTGTCGAGGCCGAGCATCAGCACGCGCATCTCCTTGTCCTTCAGCTGCGCCTTGCGCAGGATGGAGAGCATTGTTACTGGGTTACGGGTGGTTACGCGGGAGTTAGGTTGTCGGCAGAGGGAAGTGGGGAGGGTGGGCTTGCAAGTTGTAGGTTGTGCGAACAACGTTGGAACTTGGAGCTTGGAAACGACAAGCGCAAGCGAGTGGTGGGGTGTTAGTTACTGGCACGTTGCCGGCAGCCGCACCAGCGAACCAGGTGTTCGTGCCAAGGGAACGCATCGCTCGCAACGTGGTCAATGCGTGGTCCAATGGTGCTACATGGCGTGCTACATACACAGCCTTCAAGTTCAAAGTTCCAAGTGTTCCTTGCCTCAGCCATATATAACCGGAGACATGTATATTCTACATAGATTCATGGAGTCTACAGTACGGCATGACAAGATCCGTCATCCCAGTGCCCACCGGTTCGCCGTCAGAGAGTAAAGTATTGACGGGCTCACCGGTCCCCCCGATCCCGCAAGTATTGACGGTCTCACTCCGGTTCGGACTCCCGGCCAGGAGATAGAGTATATGCGCCTGCCAGAACATTCTAGAAAATTACTACAACGGAAGACTCGAGGGTTGCTTGGGAAACGGAGGACGACTCTTCACGAAATTCGAAGCTCAGCACGTCTTTGTAACATTAATTGTCTATACTAAATAGAGTGTTGCCGAACGATGTAAGACCGCAAATCAACAGATTCAACAGAATTAAAAGCACCATAGAACCAACGGAACCAGAAGAATTAACAGAACCAGCAGAACCGATCGAAAGAAACAAAGTGAAGCCAAAGAAAAACACGACACAGAAACGCCAGCACACTCATGTATACCCACCGTCTAGTCCATACCCAGTACCTAATGCTGATGAAGCCCCGCGGCCATGCAAGCAAGACAAAAAGACAAAGATAGAAACCGAAACCCCGTGAAAACAAAAAAAAGGAACGAGACATCCCAAGGCAAACAGAACCCTCAGCGCCAACTCTAAATCCTCCTCTAGATCTTCCATCAGACACACGAACAGGCGAATGGGCGTTTGGCGCTCGTCAGGCAGTCCTGTAACTAGCAGCCGTATCCCAAAAACAGGTGTGGCGCGGTAGGGCTACCACTCCACCCTAGGCGAGATCACCGGCGAGGTACTGCGAAATCCTTGTCCACTTCCACTCGCCATTATTGACCCAGCCCGCATGCTGCCGGGCGAGATCGAGGTAACCCTTTCCCGCGGCGAGGCGGCGCTGCTTTGCGATGTCTCCGCCGGCATCGTAGGTTTCGAGGGGACGCACGGCGAGCTGTACGCTATGGCGTGTGATAGCGCCCCAGGTCTCGGCGAGCTCGCGCAGCGTGCACGCGTCGCCCGAGATGACGATGCGGTCGGCGAGCTGCCGCGGCTCGTGCCGGCTGATGCTCGCGATCGCCATGCCGACGTCCTTGGTCGACGTGAAGCTGATCTTGGGGTCCGTCCGTCCCCCGCACTGCGGCATCACCGCTTCGATCCGCCGGCTCGATAGCATGATCCCAAAGTGCGTGTGGTTCGTCATCGCCGGCTCCATCAGGATCCCGCAGAACAGCTGCACCGTCTTAAGGCCCCAAGAGCGGGCTCGCTGCGCGTGTGCCTCCTTCGCAGAGAGCTCGGGCTCCGGAGTGTAGCGGGAGTGGTCGAGGTCGCTAGCACGCCGATGTTAGCAAAGTCCGAATCGATGAGGTGAGAGTAGAAATTCCGGCGGAGGAATACGACTGTTGTTTTTTTTTTCTGTTTCCTCCGCCCGGAAGCTCCTGTAGAATTTGTGGAATCCGATAACTTACTATTCAGAAGGTATGTACAATCTAACCCTGGCTCTTGCTGCGGCGTATGCAAGGACGTCCCAGGTGTGCGGGCAGACTGTTGCCGTATGTCAGATAAATCTGCCTTGCACACACGAAGACCTCGGAGGAGCCACTCATGAAGCGCAGAGAGAGAGAGAGAGAGAGAGAGAGAGAGAGAGAGAGAGAGAGAGAGGGGGGGGGGGGGGGGGGGGGGGTTGTTTTCGAGAAGGAAAAAATAAGGATATCGAGATGTTGCATTCATGCCGCCCAAGGGATTGTGTGTTGTGTGTGTACTTACATCCTATGAGATTCACCAGCACATCGACACCTTCGAGGGCCGAATCCAAAGATTCGGGGTCATTGTAATCGACGAGGAGGTAAAGGACCTATTGCGGGGAGATTCCATCCGTTAGCTTTCCAACATACACCATTAGATGTCTGTGAGTGAGGGAGGAGGGTCGTCCATACCGGTTGCCGTGCAGAGACTCTTCTCACGTTCATGGGATCTCTGGTCAGGACTCTGACGGAGTCGTAGTAGTTTCCGAATTGCGCAGAGACGAAGGCCGCCAATGTGTCAACTCCGAGGAGGCCGTGGTAGCCGGCGATTGCAATGGTTTTTCGAGACATTGTTGATGTGATTTGTTTGGTGGTGGATGGGTTTGTTTGGTGGATGGGTTTGTTTGGTGGATGGGTTGGGTGAATTGGCTGAATGAAGAGGTGAAATATATGTATGAGACCTACTTGGGGGTGAATGGAGCGGCGAAACTGATGATCTGATTATATGCTGCTGCTGTCTGATTCTGTCTGATGCTGTCTGCTGCTATCCAATTCTGTCTGCTGCTGTCCGAATGAGTATATACTCTACGATTGATGTCTGGGTAGTGTTATATCTTTGAGGCTCAAGCGTATGGGAGGTTTTATATATACACCTATCGGCTTGAGTCACTGTCCGGCAATGGGAAGGGCATTGGGCACAGCCAGCCAGCCGGCGGGGCAAATCAGGTATCAACATGATGATGATGATGATGTTCGAGTCCTACGGTACACACATACGCTTAGCCCACCACCGTTCTTTCCTTAGGTTTTACGGAGACCCAAGTTCCGGTGATGGGGATTCAGTCTGTCAACGTCAGCACTGCACGCCATCCAGCTGCTCTGTTGCCGAAAGACAGGATCAAGGTATCGCATTGCGATTGACACGGAGAGGCAAACATCCATGGGCTCAGGCTCAGGCACAGTCTGTATCTACATGCCCTGCGAGTTGGCTGGACGAACAGAACCGACTGGCTGACTGACTGACGCCCAGTCTCCGCCGGGCAATCACTAGCATGTCACCAAGGCGGGAGAGACAAACAAAAATGACGTCCATGGTATGTACCATACGAGGCCAGCATGAAGTTACGAACCGTGATCTTCTAGCACACTCTTGCACCCAGCGAAAGCGTGTTTCATCATCACAATGCAATGCGGCTTCAGTAGGTAGATACATGCATAGGCAGGTATTATGCGCTAGAGAATTATGCCCGCCCGCCTGCCTCCTTGCCTTGTCCGCACCGCACCGCATTCAGAACGGCGATGCTCGAGCCAAAGCCAAAGCCTTATGTGAAAGCACGTGTCCAACAAGATCCAATCAAGCCACCTCTGCTGCCGCCTGATCTGATCCCAGTGTCTCGTCCGTATGCTCACGATAGTTCAGCTAATGCATCTCGTGGTTTTGACTACGGCCCACCGGACTACACGCACCCTATATGGAGGCTTTATTCAAGCAAAGTCTCCGACTGGATATGAGTGGCAAAATCGAGCTATGCCCTCTAGGTTAGCATATTCAACGTCAACTTCAGGGAGAGAGGCTGAAATCACGGGCCCTACCGGGATTGTGCCCTTCGATGTTGACGGCCAGGGTAGCCACGCCAGCCAGCGGTTCCTCCCCATGCACGTTTGTGTGTATCTCGGCCTGCATCTATCTGGCTGCTGGCGGGGTGCATTGGGAAATCCAAAGCAGATCTGAGACGGCCGTTTGGTTCGGAGAGATCCAAGGGTACCTGGGTGCTTGCTTGCATGCTTGCGTGCGCAGCCCCAAACGTACCGGCGATCGCGGGCTGAAATGTGCGGTGCACTGTGCTTTCCGAACCTAACCGTTGGTACATAATCTACTAATATCACTTTCCGCAGCCTGCACGTTAATGCGTGCGAACCGATGGAAGATTCCATCTGCGTATGTAAAGCGAGACGAGGGAGGGGGAGGGAAAGGGAGGGGCAAGTCATTATTAGGTCTTACCTAGTAGAGGTTGGCGAAGTCATTATTAGGTATTACCTATTAGAGGTTAGCGATGTTTGCCGGATGCTTGCGTTAGATCCCATCATACCCGCCTTGCGATGAAGCTGGGAAGGAGTCTTGAGGAGAGAGATAGCCGAACCACCCTCCGCTACCAGACCGGTAGTTACTAGAGTATAGTTCCCAACTGTGCCCTACCAGATTCCGTCACGGATGATTTATGCCCCACCATATTCCATCACGGATGATTTATGCCCCATGGATGGGATAGTTAGTAGGGCTGATATCAAACGAAACGCCGTCGTTCAACAACACGTGCTCAACATGCACAACGTGTATGTACCTCAGAGAAGCACTCGCTTGGAAGGGTATCCGCGTGGTAGTTAAACGCCCTTTTCTTTTTCCACTACCTATATGCATACTACTAACTGACGAATGAATGAACGGCCGGCCTCAGAGGCTCAGTCCAGAGACCCCTCGGTCATTACTGTGTTTCAGCTTTTTTCGCCGAAGCAAGCGAGAGACGGGCGAATTCAAAGCCCGCGATTCGCTAAGAGTAACGGTGTCGAACAGTCATTATGCGGCTCCCACAAGAAAGATAGAAAGTCGCGGGTATCTTTTCAGGCCGCTAGTGCGACCCAGCATGGTTTGCATGCCCCCAAACACGTGCATGCCCCCCAAACACGTGCATGCCCCCAAACACGTGCATGCCCCCAAACACGTGCATGCCCCCAAACACGTGCATGCCCCCAAACACGTGCATGCCCCCAAACACGTGCATGCCCCCAAACACGTGCATGCGCAGTATGATGAGTTACCGCACGATCTGCCATCATCCATGGTCTGTTCCTAGAACTCCCCTGTAAAGTTCCTCACCTTGGTACCGGTTGGCGCTAGTTAACTGGCTAGGTAGCTCAAGATCGATATAGTTACATATCTCCTACCGGTATGTAGGTCAGCGTCGAGTGTTCACTACCATACTACCGTACTACTGCTCAGGTTCCTGGTTCATTGCTATTTACAATCATACCCTGACTTACGTGGGAGAGGGAACCATGTATGATGTACGACATACATATGTAGGAGGGGTAGCTACGCTATTCTGCGGGGTAGCTGGTATATGACTGTAGGACAGCCCCCAATACTATGTATAATGGCTAAGGGAGGGCCATGACGACCCTGACTAGAGTACATCATACTCACCACTACTACATACTCCCTCCTCCGCCAACGGACAACCAACCAGCCAACCTCACGATCGTATACACGGTACCTAACAACCGGAACAGCCCAATTCCACGCGCCTCACTCCTCGGCATCATGCCTTTTTGCTTTTCTTGCTTTCAGGCAGGGGATTCGTCGTTTCCCGTCGAGTCGGTCGAGTCGAGTCCTGATTTTAAGGCCATCATCTAACCCTGTGACGAAAGATGGGGAAAGCAATGGGTTGGAATGGGTTGGAATAGATTATAGACGTGCGTACATAGTCACTCGTATTTTATCGTGAGCGGCGGGGGGTTAGTTACGTGCGATATCTCTGGCTCGCGGCGATCACTCGGTCAGGCCCCACCCGCAGCCCATGGCGGAGGCAGTGGAAACCCAAGCCCAAGATACCGGTAGAGATGCCTATGGATTCGTATGTTCCAAGTACGATACACATTTGCGCAAGTATTTTTAGTCCTCGCGAGTTCCCATGGTACCGGACTGCGCAGTGCGCATAAATATCCAGATTCTCGGCCGGATCGGAGTGCCAAGTGGTGATTGCGGGGTGGTATGTGTCCTGCGGAAATTGACAGAGACTGTCGGATTCCCACTCTCTCAACCAGAGTATTGTAGAGTCTACTTTTCTCCTTGACATCGATGCAGAATGAAGCTGGTGGGCACTGCACATACAATTAGGTGGATATCAAGCGGCCTCAGCCTTCAGGGTTAAAGCCCGCTACATAAATGGGCAGAACGGCCAAGGCTACGTATGAAGACTGAATTCTGATCCAGAATTTATATAAGACTTTGATCATATGTGAGCACGAATCTTCATCTAAGAGATTTATCATTGTCCATGAGGCCCATAATGAAGACCGCGATTGTTACGCATTGGTGTGACATGAATGGAGATCATGAGATGTGCAAAAAAGGTTCCTTTCACGGCCAAGTCCTCCGCACTGAGCAGGGTGAACTCGATCGATCATCGGCGGGCCGCATCTTGGTGTAACCTGAATTTATTCCCCACTTCCCGCCCATGCCATTCTGTCATTGTGGACTCGGACCCGGGCGTTTTCGCTTCGCTTTCGTGAAGATATGATACCTGTATATTTCTACTCTGTTCTGGCCTTCATGTCTTGCGACATTCACGAGAAACCGTGGCAGCGGATCTCTGCAGCGTGGTGGTGGTGATGGTCCTGCAGAATCAAACCCCCGCATATGCCTTCATATTATTGTAGACCGTTCTTCCGTATCCTATGGAACAAGCCCACGTTGTTTACACTTACGCTCTCTTTCGACTCGGTCCGCCAGCCGTAATAGAAACCTTCCATCTCTCTCCGACGGTCCTGATACGTGCCCGCCTCTAGATACTCTATCGCTACCGATAGCGGAGACTTTCCCGCCAGCCGGAGGCTAACTAGACTGCCCCGCTATCGTCGCAGGCGAAATCGCGGGGTCTCGTTTATAAGAGCATAACCTTCCCGCAGAGACTTTCTGCAAATCGAATTGACCATATAGATACATACTTTCGCCGCCCTGTACGGTATACTTCTTCCGCGATGGATCCTAACGCCTACTCCGAGTTCCACGCCTTCACCACCCCGGCCATCGCCGCCCTCTCCTTCGACGCCGCCACCTCCCGCCACATCCCCTTCCGCGCGCGCACCCGGCACCGACACGCAACCTGGGCGCGCACGCACTTCAGCCGTCCGGAGCTGTACCTGCAGCCGCGTTCGATCCCGGAGCTGCGGCTGATCGTCGACCTCGCGCGGAAGCTGGGAAAGCATGTTGTCGTTGTGGGCTCGGGACACTCGCCCAGCGACCTGACTTGCAGCGCGTCGTGGATGGTGAACCTAGACGAGTTCCACGGCGTGGTGGCGGAGGAGCCGGAGAGCCGTGTGATTACTGTGCAGGCGGGGATGCGGCTGCGGGATCTGATCGTGGAGCTCGAGGCGCGCCGGTGGGCGATGCCGAATCTCGGCAGCATCACCGACCAGAGCATTGCCGGCGCCATCGCGACTAGCACCCACGGCAGCAGTCTCAAGCACGGCATCCTGAGCGAGAGCGTCGTCGCGCTGACTATCATGCTCGCGAACGGGAAGGTCGTCGAGTGCTCGCGCGAGCGCAATGTGGATCTGTTCTGCGCGGCGCTGGTCTCGCTCGGTGCGATCGGGATCGTCGTCCACGTCGCGTTCCGCGCTGTTGCCGAGTATAAGGTCCGCTGGGAACAGGAGGTGGTCAAGCTCCCGAGGTTCTTGAAGTCCTATGATAGCGTGTGGGATGAGAGCGAGTTTGTGCGCTGCTGGTGGTTCCCGTACTCCGAGCGGACGATCGTCTGGCATGGAAAGAAAGTGGAGGAGGAGATTCAGTCGCCGCCCGAGAGCTGGTACGGCGCGAGCTTTGGACGGTATACCTACGAGGCCCTGCTGTACCTTGCCATCTGGTTCCCGAGCACGATGCCGTACGTGGAGCGGTTCGTGTTCAAGATGCAGTACGGACTGGAGGAGGGAGTCAAGGGAAGTGCCGTGGAGAACAGCCACCAGGCATTGACCATGGACTGTCTATTCTCGCAATTCGTGAACGAGGTTCGTCCCACCACCTACCCGCTTCATCGCGGCAACAGCTAACCAACTCCGGGGGAACAGTGGTCGATCCCGCTTCACAAGGGGCCCGAAGCCATCACCCGTCTGGAGCACTGGCTCAACGGGCGCAGCGAGCTCTCCGGCATCCCCATTTCGTCCGCCGGTATTTTCGTGCACGCGCCCATCGAAGTCCGCGTCACCGACTCCAGCACTTCCAGCAACCCCCGCGCCTACCTGGACCAATCCATCGCTGACGGCCCGACCCTCTACCTCAACGCGACGCTCTACCGCCCGTTCCTGCGGAACATCCCCGAGTGGCGCCGCTACTACGAGGCCTTCGAGTACCTGATGAAGGACCTGGGAGGAAAACCCCACTGGGCTAAGAACTTTGTCACCCCGACCGCGGACGACGTGTGGAGCATGTACCCCGACATGGAGAAGTGGGTGCGCATCAGGGAGAAGTGCGATCCCACCGGCGTGTTCGTGGGCGACTGGCTGAAGAGATGCATTCTTGACGGCCAGGAGGCAAAGAGGGCCGTTGCCGAGGAGAAGGCTGGAGAGGGAGACGGAGGGTTTGTGGTCGTTGGCGATGATGGCCAGGAGATTTGAGATTTGATCTCCCATCATTCTCCGGCCCCCGCCCCGTCTGTTCATACCTTTCTTTGGAATTTTCATCGGGCGGTTTTTTCTTCTTTTTTCTTCTTTCTTTTTCATCGGCCAGCTTATTTCCCCACTCTATGTATGGTGGTCGGTACCCTTTTCTGGGTTGTTTTACCACGGCGTTTGATGTTTTTACAACGATGGGATTCGGTTTAGGGGGAATGCCCAAGTCTCTGACGAACTGTATGTACATAAGTAAGCAAGACACACTTCCGCAGGCTGCAGGAATAGCATGTAAGACAAGACAGGATACGGGTGGTCACTGGTCATGTGCATTGTACGCATATTGTTTCACATTCACCGAGCACCTCTGTGAGTGAGCAATGAGCATGCCATGCGTTTTGTTTTGTTTCGTGGCTGGCCTAAAACCATAACACTGGGGGAACATCCTCACGAGTCACCAGTTGATGATGCGTCAAACTAAAGCAAAAAATATCAATTCAATGATTTTCACATCCACCCATTGCCATCCAATCCAATCCTATCCCATCCCATGCAAACCCGTTCAGAGTCACTAGAAATACATCAAGAGAAAGAAAAGATAGTGTAACGTTCCCATACACGACGGCGACGACAAGCAAGCCAAGCTCCAACGAGCAGGCTTCAGGTCCAATCCAGCACAGCAATTCGGACCACAATTCATGGGGGGCGGAACCATTCACCCAGCCATGTGGGGAGGGCAAACAGGAAAGAAAGAGACAAAAAAGGTCTAAAGGGAAGGAAACGGAGGGGTATAGGCAAGAATAAGCCACTGTTTACAAGAAACACAACAGGAGTTATCTGTCAAGGAATGAAGCCATCGGGATGCACCAAAAATTGAAATCTCAACAAAAAAAAGGACGAGGAAAACCAACCAGCGCGCCCCAGCACCCGCTCTGTAAACAAAAATGCAAAAATGATAACCTGTAGGAAAAGGTTTATGAGGTGAAGAAAAGAAAAAGAAAAAGGGAGTAAACCAATCGGTTGCTCATGAACGGGCTGGAGGGGACTGGCTGATGGCTGTAGCAGCACCAGCATATTTTACACTTGGTTCGATCATTTTCATCGAGAACGTATTCAGACATTCATTGCCTCCATGGCTTGTGGAAGTCCCATCAGCCCCAGACTTGGCTTCCCCGATGGTTGCCACAGCGCGGGAATCTTGGCGTCGTCCCAGGTCCTGAAGAGCGCCTTAAACTCCTTTGGTGCGTCGCCCAATATGACGTTGCCCGCTGGGATGAAAGGTCTGTTTTCTACCGATGTCGCAAGAAGGGCGTACTCCTGCGTAAACTGGAGTGCTGCCTGGAATTCTTCCCGCCTGGACTGGGATTGCGATCCGATGACACTGTGATGTTCGATCAGTATACACGCATATAGCAACAGTAGGGGGTTAGACCCACATGTAAAACTCGAAAAACGCATCGGCCACGTAGATTTCACGAGGATCCAGATCGTCCTGACAGAACGGCGTAATCTCGATCACCTTACATGATGTCAGCTTCATGCACAACGTACGACAAAACAGATAAACTTGCCTTTGACTGCATTTGCAGATTCACTTTGAAAAGCCTAGCAGCATACTTCTTGCTAGAAGGCCTTAGGTTCCAGTAATCGGCTGACTGGACCTCGAAGCGCCCGCCGAGAGCCTCCCAGAAGGACTCTGGCTCCTCTCCTTCCAAACACTCGACAAGTTCACCCAGTCCAGATATCTCAAATCCGACGAGCCGTGCCACTCCAACCTCATCCGGCATGGCACCCTTTCCTTTCCACAGATAGACAGCTGCCCCTTGCCGGGAGAGAACATACGAAAACCCGGAGCAAAGACTCGAAGCGTCAAGGTCAACCTCATCGAATGCCACCCCGCCAAAGAAGTTCCTCCCGCAAAGCATAAATGAGCTATCGATAGGTGAATCGTTGTCCCGGGTACCTCGCCGTGTTACGAGGATGCCGCCGATAGCGTGGAAAAACGTCGCATTCTCACGGCCTTGCTTCAATTGAACCTGTACTAACGTAAGCAAACAAACATACGAACGAAGTCGAAGGGGCAATTACGAGTCTCCCGCCCTCTTGCCTTGCCGCCTTGCGTGCGAATAGCTGGGCATCCTCAATTTCACTTTCGGAAACCATGGATCCGCTCCACAAGTACACCTCCGCCTCGTTCTTCCCGAATGCATTCTCAAAGCGATGAGTGCACAGATACATGCAGTTGTCAAAGAAAACATGATGCTGTTCCTTGGGAATAGGAGTGAGTCTGCCATAGCCGTCGATGTCGGAGACTTCAAAGTGTGTAGTCTTCACCTTCTCAGCCGCGACAACCGGGTTAGATGCAAGAATACTCATAATGTCGAAGTCAATCTTATTGGCACGGGATGAAGGGCCTGTGAAGAATTTGGACAACAATTGGGTGTCATCATTTTCGGCAGCACTAATATCCGGCGTCGGCAGCAAAGGTGAAACAGATCTTGAAAAAAGCCTGGGCATCGGCTTCTCATCGTCATCTGGCTCCATCACTGAGACAGGAGCTGATAGTCCTGAAAATCCCGAGATTCCAAGGCTCTTTCTATCGCTATCACGCTTGGGCAACCTGATGGGCGACACTCCGGCGCTTGTGATGGAGTCCACCAGGTCATGGACTATGACTGGCGAAGACTTCAGTGCACTCAATGAGGGCTCTCGGGTAAGCACGTTTGCAGAGGGTGTCTTGATAGGAAGCGGGGTTTTAATCGCAGACTCCTGCACTGTCGCTGGCTCAATGGAGAACTTCTCATTCTCTTTAAGGCTGGAAGCGGAAATATTTCTCAGGACTGGCGACTTGGCGGGGGTAGGTGACTTCGGCTTTTCAGGCTTAGGGAAGGGACTGCATACGACCGGGTCCACTGTTAAGGTGCTCTCTGGCTTGGAATCCTCTGTAGCAGGTTGATCGACCTTGGTCGGTGCCCTCCTCTTAGGCCCTCTAACTCTTCCTTTGGTGATCTGTAACGATTATTAGCCATAGAACTAGAGCTGTAGGTATTCACATACATGATTGAGGGGAACCGCGGATTGCGCAGAACCTCCAGTTGATTTGGATGCATCCTCCGCACCTCTCGACGACCTAAAGGCATTCCCGCTCGCAGCCGTAGGTGGTCCTCGTGACAACAGACCCAAAAGGTTTGGATTGAACCTTTCCGCAAGTGTGCCTTTCTTCACAGGCTCGATCTGTGACGGGGAGAACCTCTTCTTCTCAGGCTCTATCCGTACAGGAGCGAACACCTTCTTCTCGAGCGCCGAGGAGGGTAAGTTCTTCTCGAGCACTGAAGATGGTAGCTTTTTATCGAATACTGAAGGGAAGACCTTCTTCTCGGTCACTGGCGAAGGAGTCTTCTTCTCAGTCACTGGCGAAGGAGTCTTCTTCTCGAACACAGATCTCAATTCCACGGGAGTCTTAGATCTCGGCTCAAAGGGTCCAGGAGTTTTGGATCTCGTTTCCACCGGTCCGGGAGTCTTGGGCCTCATGTCCGCCGGTCCGGGAGTCTTAGACCTAGTTTCCACCGGTCCGGGAGTCTTTGGCCTCATGTCCGCCGGTCCGGGAGTTTTAGACCTCGTTTCCACCGGTCCGGGAGTCTTTGGCCTCATGTCCGCCGGTCCGGGAGTTTTAGATCTGGGTTCCATTGGTCCAGGAGTCTTAGATCTTGGCTCCACCGGCGAAAATGACGACGACGTGGGTTTCACGGGGGAGTCTGAATGTCTGAGCGAGCCCTTCGCAGAAAGCAAGCTCTCCTTCAGGGGATCTATTTTCGGCGCCTTTTGGACTCCTCCCGTATTGTTCAGATTCGCCTTCCCAGCCAGAATATTGTCCTTCAACTCGTTGGGCGCCCTGTAGTTCTGTGTTCTTGTCGATTTCAACCGTGACATTGCATTGAGGAACGGAAGCTCTTCCTTCTCATCGCCTTTACCGGAATGCGGGCGAGGTTTCAACGAAGCGCGGAAGTTGATCTGTTCCTTTGGTTTTGATGTAGGTTTGGCGGAAAGGTCAATCATAGAATTCCTATTGGATCCGGTCGACGACGGCAATGTATTCGTTCGGTTAAGACCATAGATGGCTGGCTTATCAGCAGCCGACAGCTTCTTTTCTGTGTCATCATCCCTTTTGTACGAGCCCGTTGTCTCGGGTGCATTCTTCTCATTCGCTTTTTTCAACGACTCGTAAGAAGGTATTGGGTTTGGATATAGAATGGGAGTCTTAGCAGGAAGCACCGGGGGTTGGCCGAATGGCGAGAGTTCAACAGGTTTTGGTTGTGGCTTTGCAGGCGCCATCGGGGGCTGAGGATTGTCGGTTCCCTTCTTCAAAGCAGTCTCCAGCCAGGACGATTTGGTTGGGCTCCATCGTTTGGGCTCAAAGGTTTTCCCAGGAGAAGCCGGTGGAGTGCTATCTCGTCGTGAGTATCGATTTGTGAGTCCTTCGGACGTGGTGTTAGAACGACCGCGGATTGGTTTGGCGACGGGTTCTGCTTCGGGCTCGGATGAAAGGTCTTCGGGAGCAGGAGTTGATCCCCTAGATGTTGGCAACAGGACCGGCTCATTGCCTCTGGCAAACACCGAGTTGCTCCTCGAATGACCACTACCACTGCTAACTGACTCCGCCCTACTTCCATATCTCTTGTGCATGGATCCTTCCCTTTTCAACCTCGCACTCTGTACAAAGCCACCAACACCTTTTGTTGGACTTGGGGTACGGTCCCTCGAGTCAGGTGAGAGGCGTTCTTGACTCGGGCTCATCAGGGGAGCGGCACGAGAATCCTCGACTTCAAATCGACCGGAAGCATTGCTAGCTATTGAAGGTGATCGCGCAAGATCCGATGGCGGAAATCTCTCAGACTTGAGGGAACCGCTTCTAGCGACTCTTGTAGTTGACAGAGAATCGAATGCCGTACGTGGAGAAGCTTTCTGGAGTTCTGGGATCTCGGCCTGCATGATGCTGCTATCACCAGAGGACGGTGACATCCCGGGCAGGGACATTTTAGAAACACTTTCCATCCTCTCCTCTTCCGCTTTCCTTAGAGCACCGGATGTAGCAGCCCGTTCCCGTGTTTGACTGAACCATGTGGGCTCCTTCGATTGAAGGTTCGCAGTGATCTGGGCTCGACTCTTTTCTGGTGAATCCGTCGATTCACCAGCATTAGGAGATGAAGGTGATAACTTCGGCAACCCCCCATACACACTGCCATGGAAGGATTTTGGACGACGCTGCCAGGAGAGTGTGGGTGTCCGTCTCAGAGGAGCTTCGCTACTGGTTGTTTCAGTGGCATCAGTAAGCTTCCCCGTCAACTTCGCCAGTGCCGCATTCGTGCCGGTATCAACGCGTTCGGCGGTATCGTCGCTATCCCGGGTTTCAGGTCGGGAGACAGCGGATTTCAGGCTAATCGGAGTTCCACCTGGCGAGTCCTTCTGTGGCGAAAGAGAGCGAGCTCGTTCTGCGGGCGTGGTACATCATCAGCCAACCATCGGTAGTGGTGAATTGGATATCGATAGAATCTTCAAGAAATAAATACGTACCGTCTCGCCTAGCCCGTCGGGCTTCTCGCCCGGCCAAGATCTCGGCTTCGAGCTGCCTCGCCCTATCGGCATCCTCCTTGTCTCGTTTATCGCCCAATTCCCGTATCCGCAAGAGGAACTCGCTAACATCTGCACCGCCGTCTCCTTCCATAGCGGTCGTGTAGGCGGGAACAAGAAGGTGAACCGTAGCAAAACCGGAGAAGTATAAACCTCCTAGGGCTGATGAATAAGAATATGGAGTTGAATGAGGCAGAGACGAGGGGGGTGTCCGAGGAGGGAAGAATCGTTGAAGCTGAAGTTCGGTAGATACGGAAAGGACGGCGGGTCGAAGCAGAAGGAGAAGGGAGTGTTGTGCTGCTTGCGAGATGCAGAACCAAAAAGCAGGAAAGGTTGAAGATCGAGGAAGTTCCGCTTTGGTCGTCGAGACCGGGAGGGGCTCTGTAATACTGGGGTTGCGAGCGCTGATCTGAGCTTTGGCGTCTTGGCTCCACTAGCCACGTCACGTGTCGTATAACAACTCCAACCGGCGGGTGCAACACGCGGAAGTAAACAAATAGGTAATGCTGAGACACCGATTACAGAGAATAGGGGTTATAGCCGCCCGAGACGAGCGCCGTAACAAAGTTCGATATATGGTTTGCCTGGTCGTTCAGCGTTAATTCCTTGTGCCCTCAGAGCGTCCATCTGCGATCACTCGCCATTGCGCCTAGGCTACTAGTCGGTGCCTGCGTGCAAAATCCCTCAGCTTGGAAGGTCCAGGCACGAAGCAGAAGCAGAAGATGTCAGCGTGGCAACAAAGCCTTCGCATCACTATCTACGGCAGTTGTATCCCGAGAAGAAATTTGGCCAATAGTATCGTCGGCAATTAGAATAAAATCCAGGATCAATGTAGTTGATGCTCAACTTGAGCTGAGGTCTGCATATGCATACCGCGCCGCTGAAATTGAAACAAGCAAAACAATGATAGATACTCGGGCATTGCCTTTTTGCCAATCAAACGGACGCATTTCTTTTCGCTGGAGTGTGCAACTTTCTCGCTAAATAGGACCGCGATTCTCTCAAAGAGGACGTCTGAAGGGCTCACTATCGATCGAAAGAAAATGGAGTTATCCTCGACCGAGAGTAGAGCTCTGGGAGAATCAAGCTTCATGATGATTTTATAGCCCACATACAAGAATATTACAGGAGTTTGGTTCATGGATTAAGCATTCTGCTCATCCCTACGACAATTAAACTCCATCCATTCTACCACGCAATCCTCGCAACAAACCCCTGCGGCCATCCCCTTATCACAAACTTCCTCATCTCATCAAGCAGCAACAGAACAACTCCAAAAGCTGCAGGGAGGAACCAGTACTCAAGAGGTATAGTTGTAGATCCAATCAAGTCCTGGAAGAACGGGATGTAACAGACTGCACAATGTTAATGCCATTCAGCCATGCCAGGGAGAGAGAGGGCTTACAGATAAATACGATGATGATACCACACCCAATTGCGGGGAAAAGGTATAAGTTCCTGGAGTAGTACGGTCCCAACGGCGGCATTTGCGTGATACTCAACCGTCTCGTCCTCGTAGCCATGAGGTTAAAGAATTGCCTGTATACACAACTCATCAGCAGCGATTCACCCTTTCCTCCATCGGTGGGACATACATGACAACAAGCGTAACGAAGTACACTGAGCTGGCCTCATTCACCGTCCTGGTGATGAAATCAGGATCGTACTTGGAGTCGATATTCCCGTAAGATAGCCAGACTGCGGAGAATGGTAGGCCCTGGCGTTGCATGTACCAGAAACTCATTGCCATGCTGCAGACACACTCGATCATGCCGATGCAGAAGTAGGCGTGGAAGATTAGTTTGCCGTCGACAAGGTGCTCAGTGCGGTTGTTGCGCGGCTTGCGTGTGAGTGTATCGGACTCCGGCTGTTCATAGGCAAGGGACATGGCTGCTATGCAGTCGGTGAAACAGCAGATTACGATCATGAGGAAGGAAGACAGGATCTGTGGGAGCCCGAAGAGTACGTTGATCATAATGGGCCCTGGGCAGTCAGTTTATGATCAGTGAGTGGAAATAGAAATAGCTACTTACAAAGCTCACTGAAAGTTCCAGCTGGCAGGAGATAAGTGATTGTTTTTCGTAGATTATCTATAAGCGTATCAATATCAGGGTCGTGACTTCTCTGACTTGGAACATGCATACCAAACACCGTTCTTCCAGCCCGGACAGCGCCGACAATCCCCTCGAAGCTGCCGAGAAGAATCATATCCGCAGCCTCAATGGCAACTGCACTCCCGGAAGCCAGAGCAATTCCGACATCGGCTGCTTTCAGCGACTATTCGTACACAAATTAGTCAGTTACAGTGCATCACGCAGTAGAAGCATCAAACTACCACGAACCGGAGCATCGTTAACACCATCCCCCGTCATTGCCACAACCTCACCCCTCTTCTGAAACTCCTTGACAATCCTCAACTTCTGTTCTGGCGTGGTCCGCGCAAACACAACCTCCTTATATCTCGATAATTGATCCCACTGCGCCTCATTCAACACAATCAACTCGGACCCTTCCAGGACGATGGCCCCCTGGAATCCCGTATCATTGTCGAACCACTCTTCATCCTTCTTCTCCTCGTGCTTAACATACTGCCTATCCAGCGACGTAAAGTCTTCGACCGCAGCGGGAGGAACAGTAAGAATCCCACAGGAGCGGCCAATGGACTGCGCCGTGAGCTTGAAGTCACCAGTGACCATGAACACACGGATACCCGCGCCGCGAAGGATCTCGATAACCCTTGGAATCTCGTCGCGGGGCGGGTCGACGATTCCCACTAAGCCGGCCAGTCTCATATCTGTTGCGGCTAAGGAAGCGACCTGATCGGCGAATTCGGCCGTGTTTGGAGCCCAAGGGAAGAGTGACTTCGGTACCCGCTTGCTGGCGAGGAGAATAACACGCTTTCCGTCCATAGCCCATTGTATCTGTGTCTGCTGCAGGTTCTCACGCCAGGCGGAGGTGAGCGCCGCCTGGGAATCGTCGGGTAGCAGCAATGAGCCGCACCGCGGGAGGAGGATGTCGGGGGCGCCTTTGATCATGAGGATACTTCACGGTCGAGCAATCAGTAACGGCAAACACTTCTGGACACAACCACTTACTGTTCACCGCAACAATCATCGCCTTCACCCACCACTTCGGCGAATAGCGAGAGCATGAACTTATTCTTGCTGTTGAATGGCACCTCGTAGATCCTCTTCCATTTATTCCGCAAGTCTGCTACTGGGCCCAAACTTTGCGCGAACCGCAGGATTGACTGGTCAGTGGCGTCGCCGTGGACTGTTTGCAGCTCCAAGGGAAGATGGAGAGTGGCTGCGTCGAACTCGCCGGCGTTACACAGCCCAGCGATGGCATAGACCTCGAGCATAGCTGGAGTAGGAGGCCCGCTGTGGGGGACTGTGTGCTTGTCATAGCCGATGCAAAAGTCCGTGACGAACATCTTGTTCTATGGCATTGTCAACAACAATACGTCTAGAGCGCGAATGTACGCACGCACCTTCGTGAGTGTTCCAGTTTTATCCGAGCATAGCAATGACACTGAACCAAGCGTCTCGACCGTTGCGAGTGATTTGCACAGGATGTTATTTTTCCTCATGGAGTGCGCAGTGATCGTAAGACACGTTGCGAGGGCAATGGGAAGACCTTCCGGAATGAAAGCCACCGCAACACTGACGCAGTCGACGATGAGGAGCGGAACATCGATCCACTTGGGATACGACCTCCGTAGCCAGGCAGCCCTGTGGTGGTTTCCGTCAACACTCTGCACCCATAAGACTAGAAGGAGCAACTTACCAGAGAATAATCACGAGAATAACCACAAACAGCACCAGCCCGCCAATAACCATAACGAACCTCATAATCTCCCTCTGTAGTGGCGTCATTCCCTTGCGGGGGCGACTCGACAACTTCGCAATCCTTCCAAAGACCGTTTTGTCACCGGTGGCGACAACAATGCCAATGCCATTTCCGCTGACGCAGTGAGTACCTTGCAAAGCTATGCAACGGGTTTCGAGATAGTTGGGGTCAGTAGAATCGACGGTGGCCAGCGAAGGCTTTGATTCTCCTGTTCACTGGTCAGGTTCCCATCGAAGCTATCATTGAGCGCGAGGGCTTACCTGTTAAAACCGATCGATCGAACTTCAGGTCCATTGAAACCTCCAGCATCCTGAGATCGGCCGCAACCTTATCACCAAGCCTGACATAGAGGATATCTCCAGGCACAAGTGCAGTCGATGGGACTTCAGTCTGGTTACCATCCCGCAGCACCAGACACTTATCCGGCAGCATGGACATAATTGAGTTCATAACCTTCGATGAAGAGTAATCCTGCCACGCATTGAATCCTGCCTGTATAGCGAAAACCAAGAGTAGCACAATACCGAGAGCTGCATTGGCAGGAGCGGGCGGATTTCCGAGAGGCTTCCATGCGATGAGAACGAGTATTCCACCAGTGAGGAGAAGTGAGCCGAAGCCGCCGAAGAAGTACATGAACAGCTTGTGGAGAAGACGCGAGGGAGGCGGTGTTGGAATGTTGTTGCCATACCATGAGACCAACTGTGGAATTTGGTCTGAACTGAGGCCGGTGGTGGGGGAGGACTGGAGACGCTCGTAGATATCCGGAAGAGGGACCACGTGCCATTGGAGTTCGGCGATTTCTTGAAAGGATTCATCAGATACCAGCGCCACGATAGGAGGAGGTATTCAAGAGTGAAATTATACCGTCGGCGAGTTCTTCGGCGTAGGATTTCTGCTTCACCTCCTGCTCCTTCTGCGATTCGGTACCGTCAAGCTTGATAGAGCTTCACCAGAAATCAATCACATGCTTCCACGAGAATCCGCAAGAGGAGGAGGTAGGAGGTGAGGTTTCAATACAGTGCACGATATTCGACGGCCACCTGTGCCCCGAGGGACCTGTCTCTGCTCAACCCCGAGGCCACACTCCTGATGGACATATCGGTGTACTGTCGTTGCAGTGGAAACCCATGACGAGCATTGACATTGTTTTCGACATCTTGAAACTGGATGCGGGTTTGGTCTTTGCTTGCGGAGGTGATTTCGTCGGCCATTGATGAAAAACGAGATTGAATGAATAGGTATTTTCTCTCTTCACCCACTTCTAAGGCCTCTATATACAGCGAGGCAAATTTGCGGGACGTGGGTAAGAGGCCGCACGTGCGATGGTGAGATCCCTCTGTTACGGGCGCTGTAGCTATTGAGACATGAGGTTATTCATGACACTGCACTTGTCCCAGCCAGCCAATTCCCATCTCTGTCGCTCTCACAACTCAACCGAGTGACGACATTCAGCCCGAATGGCTATGCTTAGGCCTTCCTAAATTCTTCAAACCAGATGGTGGCTCCGACTGGCGATGTGGGTAAAATCACTCATATATCCAAACCATCGGTGCTCTCGGGCTGTGCAAGCTGCTGCAACGGCCTGACCTCCGCGCTGTCGTTCAGAAACAAGCTCACCGTGCAGATCTGGTAAATAAGCGCCCCCGCCTCGCTTATGCGCGCCAGCTGCTGGATGGGGTTATGGTGCTCGAGTCGAGTGACCGGATGGAGGCATGAGCGGTGCTACCCTGGAATCTGTTGGTCACGATATTGCTGCCACTAGAACCGAGATATGAGCGATATTCGGATGGAAATTTTAAGGCCATATGCCGCGCCAGTGTTGTCGGTTTGGAGGAGCGGTCTGCTGTAATTGAAAACTCCTGTTATTTGGTTCCCCTATCGAGGTATCCTGTGTATACCCGGCGGACTTCGCCTCTACCCCCATGCTGCCGCCTGTACCCGGGTCCTGTCACTTGCCATTGTCACTACCAGCTCCCCCCGCACCCACTCTGACCCAGCGGTACCTACTTTCTCTTTGGATGATAGTGCTGGGGAGTTCTGCCCACATTGGAGTCTGCAAATCAAACTGCCCATCACGAAGGAGTCCCACAAAGTGCAATGGCCTCAGTCAGAGAATTCCGCAACCCCAAGTTCGCCTCAGTCAATCCTGTGTCGTTTCCTGGCTAATGTTCGTCACTCGAACCAGCAGCGTCTTGGATTTTTGTCCTCACGATCCTACTACTGATATCCCCCAATACTCACAATTCCCTGGCTCGTTTCCAAAGAACCAGATCATCCAACCCAAAGAGATAGAAATCGTAGTAGCGATGTTGTTTTTAGTTGGGTTCCCGTCATAGCACCTACCGCCCGTTGGAACGAGATACCTTTCCGTGGGAGCTTAGGGCTGTATTTGCTAGTCCTTCTCTGTCCACATGCCCGCTGCCCGCGTGCGCTCCTTTGCGAGCAGGCAGTGCTGCTCTGTTTCCCCCCTAAACCCCCTTGCCTTGCAGTTGCCAGTCGCGATTGTGAGTGTGATGATGGTAGATATACCGGTATTTTCAAGATGTACGAGACAACGTGCGAAACAGCAGCTTATCGGTTGGCTCTGTGCTCCGCCGCAACATTGATTGCTACATGTTATCGATCGTCCCAGGAGATTGGTACCGAAACAGCATCACAACACCCTTACAAAAAATTTCAGTAGTGTTCTTATCGGAATGCGGGGACATCGATACCACCGGAGTTTTGGTCTTTGATTCTGTTTGCGCAGGTTCGAGGTAACTAACAAGGGCTGCATTGCTGTTCCCCCTTGAAGAACGGACCAAACATCACCCTAGCAGATAGAGAAGATGGTCCAAAAACATGATTTGACCGAGGCTCGATCTCGGGACCTCTCGTGTGTGAGACGAGTGTGATAACCAACTACACCATCAAACCACTTATGAGGATGGACCATGTGTTGGCCTACTCATACAAATCTGCACGGTTGTCACTGATTACTCTTGAATAATCACGTTCGCTTTTCTCCCATAACTTATACATTACAAGCCCTTCCGCCAACTACCGCCTTCCTTTCCCTCTCCCTTTCTTCGAACCCCCACCCGCATCCCTCTTATTCGCAGCCTTGACACCACCCCTCAGGCCTTTGGTCGCTCGGTCTGACTTCGTCTTCTTGTACACTTTCTCCTTCTCCTCCTTCATCTCCTCGCGCTTCCTTTTCTTCCCGCTCATGGGAGTTTTCTTATCGGGTAGAGAAATCCCGTTGAGCTCGGCCTTACTGACCTTCTTCGCCTCCGCCTTCTCACGCTGACTCTCAAACCACGTCCTCTTGGGACGTCCCTTGATCTCATCCTCGAACTTAACCAGGTTCTCAGTCCTCCGCACCTGCATTTCCATCGTCTGAATGAACTTCTCCTCCTTCTCCTCCTTAAGCACATCCTCAATCTCGTCTTCGAGAGCAGTGAGCTTCTCGTGCACAGCGTTGACTGTATCATTGTCGAGGACGCGCGAGACGACCTTGGCGGATTGTGCCTGAGCGGCGCGCACGGCGGCCTTGACGACTTTGCGGTCGCTTTCGGAGGCGAGGGTGATGGCACGACCTGAGCGCCCAGCACGCGCGGTACGTCCGACTCTGTGAAGATAGATCTCGTGGGATTGCGGCGCCTCGAAGTTGATTACGCAATCAACGTTTTTGATATCAAGACCACGGGAGGCAAGATCGGTTGCGAGCAGGTAGTCGACCGCGCCGTCACGGAAGGCTTCAACGGCTTTGACACGCTAGGGAAGGTTAGCATGCTACATGGAGGGATCGGCGAGGGGATGGATTTTACCTGTTCCTGTGTCAAACTTCCGTGTAGCTCTGTAGCCTTGAGTCCGAAGAGCCCGAAAATGACGCGGATTCTGTGTGCAAGCACCTTGGAGCGGAAGAAAATGATGCATCGGGTGGTCACAAGCGTTTTGCAGATATGAATCAACATAGCTAACTTCTGCTTCTCGCGCTGGGGCCTGATGCGGACGAATTCCTGCACCAATCCCTTGACGGTGCTCTTTTTGCGGTCCACCATGAGACGGACCGGGCGATTAAGGGAGAGTCTGATCAGCTTGTCGACGGAGTCGGTCATGGTCGCAGAGAACAGCATGGTTTGTCGGCTCTTGGGAATCGTGTTGATGATCTCGTTGAGCTCGTCGGCGAATCCGTCTTCCAGCATACGATCGGCCTCGTCCAATACCACGATCTCGATGGTTTCCACACCAAAGCCCTGAGAGTTGCGCATGTGGTCGATGAAACGACCAGGAGTGGCAAAGATGACATCGGGGCGTTTCTTGAGCTCAAGTTCCTGCACCTTGAGCGATAGTCCTCCTACCGCCAGAGCGAATTTGATGTCGGTATACGCTGCCAGCTTGACTCCCACCGAGTGCGCCTGCATCGCCAACTCACGGGTAGGACACAGGATGAGAACTCTGGATGTAGGCACCTTCTTTGGTCGGTAGAGTAGTCGCTCGAGAATCGGCACTATAAACGCCGCCGTCTTTCCGGAACCAGTTTCCGCACCTCCAACGACGTCCTTGCCAAGTAGTGCCACAGGAATAGCTTTCTGTTGAATCAAAGTAGGTGCAGTGAAGCCGACGTTGGCGAGACCACGGAGGATAGGACGAGAGAGGTTCATGTTTTGGAAGCTCGCCGAAGGGTCGGGGTTAAAAGTGATCTCATCTTCAGGAGCAAAGTAGGCGGCCTTTTTAGCAGCTTCGGCGGCGGTCTCGGTATCCGATCCTTCGCGGTCAGAGCCAATATCGTCGGGATGGGGAACGTAGGAGGCTACAGATTCATCGTCAGAGTCTTCGCCCTTGTCCTCGTCGCCGTCGCCGCCCTCATCGTCCGAGTCCTTGGAGGCGTCCGAATTTTTTGTTGCGTCTTCGTCCTCCTCTGAATCTGCGCCCATGCCAAAACCGTCCGCAGCAATGTCCTCGTCGTCGTCTTCAAATCCTGCGAAACTCACTTCCGCCTCATCATCTCCATTTTCCTCGTCGCTCTCTCCACCCTCGTCCTCGTCTTCCGCCGCGCCTTCATCATCACCCTCTTCACTCTCGTCGTCGGCGAGTTCGGGTGCGTCATTATCAGCGTCGTCTCCGTTCTCCCCACCCTTCCCTTCCTGCTTCTTTTTTGCTGCCCTCCGCCGGATGATTTCGTCTATATCCACTCCTTTCTTCTGGTCCCTCATCGCCGCCTTTGCACCCTCAAATCCCCACCCATCGTACTCTCCGACAGCGTCACCCAGATCACCTGCCTGGAACTCAAAATCCGAGTCCAACCCGCCATCGTTCGCCGCCTTCTTCTCCTTGCGCTCTACCACAACCTTCTTTTCCGTGCGCTTCCTTTTCTTCCCTCGCGACTCCTCCTCCTCCGGTTCGGGGGAAAGACTCGGGCTGATCTGCGCCCCGTCGTCAGAGTCGTCTTCGTCCAGAATCGGCACGTCTTGATCCGAGTCATCAATGGTCATAACGAAGTCGTTGGCGGCGGCCGGTGCGACTTTTGCATTTATCGTAGGCGATGCGCCGTCCCTCGAGGGAGTCTCATTGTTCTTGCGCTTTGATTTCGCCATTTTGTGTGGTGTGGTGGGGGTTCGTTGGTGGTGGGGTATAATTGTGGATGTCCTTTCGTTGCGAGAGAACTTCGACTCTGAACTTTTTTTCGCAGAGCCGCAGGGATCAACGCCGCTAGCTTGGAGCGTGTCGTGCACGGGCTAACGCCGCAAGTGAGAGACATGTGGAAAATGAAGCTGTGCCTGTTCGAGATTCACAAACGATTACATGTAGTAGATATGGGTACTTTTTCGAGTGAATTACGGCGGTGATTGCTGAAGCAGATCTAGCCTTCGCTGCTGGTGGGAGGGTGATTTTCTGTGTCTCATCCACCTTGTGGTTCCTACGCCCGTCCGTCCAGTCCTCTTGGCTTCCCCGTTTTCGTGTCTTTGTCAAAATTGAACTGGACTGCGCACAATGCATTTTCAAAAGAGGAGAACCCGCTTCCTTCGAAGAACGGACCAGGCAGGACAGGTAAAGCTGACCGGCTCAGCCGTTTCTGCATTCCGACTGTCTCTCTATCTGCTACTTCTCCCCTTCATCTCCTACACCCCCTCCTTATCCATAGAGCACCTACCGTAGTCAATCGTCCGGATATATCCCCATACCGTTCAACCTGCCCCCACTACCACTACATTCATCACCATCCTCACTACCAAAACTCCCCATGCCCTTTCAATTTGCCCTGCTTAGTTAATGCGCCTATTACGTACTCACAAGCGCACCAGAGGTATCCTCATAGAATAGGTCGATATACCGCCCCCTCTCGACCAAATCGACGTCATTCGTTGATCCGGAACCACCTTCAAATTGTTAGTTGATCTAGCATTCTAAAGTCCAATCCAATTTTCACATCCCCAAAAGACTTTCATTTACATCTGCCATTCTATATTTCGTATGTGCACCATACTGTGGTCGCTGAGATCGGACCAGTTGTTGGCCTCGCGTCCCTGCGCGTCCTTGTTTTGCTTTTGTTTCTATTTCCACATGGGCTGCTAACGAACTCCACGCCCTGCAGAAGCCCCTCGCGACGAAACCATCACAGACCTCGCCTTACACAACCACCGACCGCTCTTCCCTTCGCCCCCGATCCGTCATGGACAACCCAGAATTACAAGCGCACCTGGCCGCTCTCGATGCCGAACTCGATGAGGGCGATATTACGCAGAAAGGATACGAGAAACGCCGCACACTCTTGCTCTCGCAGTTCGGCGTCAACGTCGGCTCCGGCAGCATCACCTCCTCCAATCCATCGCATCACTCGTTGCAACAATGGCGATACAGCGACGGATCTTATCAAGGAATGGATTCGTCTTCGGTTGGTGGTGGGAGCCGGACATCTCTTGTGATGGGTGGAGCGCCGCAGCCGGACCGGAGTAGAGGCGGGGGAGAATATGAGTCGGCTCCGGCCGGCACGAGATCAAGTTACTTACAGAGCGCGGCACCACCGCACATGAGGAGCAGCTCGAATAGCAGTTCGAGGTTATCGCCGCATTCACCGCATCATACCCGCGACGATTCGATGACGTTGCCGACTCAAGGCACTCACATCCGGAACTACAGCTCTGCATCGTCCAATCCGTCGGTCCAACAACAGCAGAGCTATGCGTACACGCCGCCGCATAACCACATGCAACTACCACCACAGATCGAATATGAGCAGTACGATGAAGGTCAGACACCAATGCAAGACCAGCCGGGAATGTCGGATTCGAGGACGAATACACTATTTGACGCGGGGGGCTACTTCTCGGACTTTACTGCCCAGGTCTACGAGCCGGGGAAAGACCTAAACCAGAATCGACCTCTGGAGAATGACTACAACCAGCCTATGATGCACCGCTATCCGGAGAACGCCGGATTCTCCCCCACTGCTGCTGTTCCTCCGCCGATGCTCAACACCAACGATATGCCGCCGCCAAGCGCCATCAACACCTTGATGCCGCTAGAACCACGGGATGTGCCATTCGCGGTCGATGACCCCCACAACAGGAATATTCCAATGTCAAAATTCGACAATATAGCCACCGTACTGCGGCATCGGGCTCGATCAATACCGAAACAGCAAGCATATGTCATCCTGGATACCAAAGGCAAGGAAGTCGCCGCCATCTCCTGGGAGAAACTGGGATCACGCGCAGAAAAAGTGGCGCAAGTGATACGGGAGAAATCAGGCCTATATCGAGGGGACCGCGTGGCGTTGGTTTACCGTGATGTGGAACTCATAGATTTTGCTGTCGCGTTGCTTGGCTGTTTCATTGCTGGTGTGGTCGCTGTTCCTATCAATAACATGGAAGATTATCCCAAACTCAACTTCATCTTGACATCGACGCAGGCGCATCTAGCGCTCACCACGGACAGCAACCTGAAGGCATTCCAGCGCGAGCTAACGACTCTGAAGCTAGCCTGGCCAAGGGGCGTTGAGTGGTGGAAGACAAACGAGTTTGGCTCCTTTCACGCCAAGAAGGGCGAGGAAGTCCCGCCATTGCAGGTTCCAGATTTAGCCTACATAGAGTTCTGGCGGGCACCTACTGGCGACCTACGAGGTGTTGTACTGAGTCACAGGACGATAATGCACCAGATGGGAACGCTCAGCGCGATCATAAACACTGCGCCAAGCAACAGTCGAGACACATTTGACACGAGCCTCCGTGACAAGACTGGACGGCCAGTCGCAGGCGGGCCTGCCGGAGAGACGCTGGTTTCGTATCTCGACCCCCGACAGGGCATTGGACTGATCCACTCGGTCCTCATGACCGTATACGGCGGACAAACGACGGTGTGGTGCTCACAGGCCACCACAAGCGTGCCAGGTCTCTATGCCAACATCATCACTCGCTACAAGGCTACTCTGTGCTTGGGGGATTACCCGGCGCTGAAGCTCGTTGCCTACAACTACCAGACCGAACCGTTTGCGACCAGGAACTTTCAGAAGAAATATCCGGTGGATTTCTCGTCTATAAAGTTGATGATGATCGATGCTTTGGTGGTTGACTCGGAGTTCCACGAAATCTTGGCGGACCGATGGTTGAAGCCCCTTGGTAATCAGAGGGCACGAGACGCTGTGGCTCCTATGTTGTGTTTGCCGGAGCATGGAGGGATGGTCATTGCGATGCGCGATTGGGTTGGTGGCGAGGAGAGGATGGGATTTCCCCTTTCCAAGCCGCAGGAGGAGGAAGAGACGATTGAGCCTGAGAGTCCCGTCGACCCGAAAACAAGTATACTCGGGAATGGATACTCGTCGTTGCTATCCAATCCCAAAGTTCCTGGCACTAAAGAGAAGAAGCCTCCCGAGATCATGGAGGTTTTATTGGAGAGAGAAGCACTCAAAATGAATGACATCGTTGTCGTAGCGATGGGAGAAGAGGTTGAGAAGAGAGGAGAGGATGAGACCGCGCTTAGAGTGGGGGCATTTGGTTATCCTATACCGGATGCCACGCTTGCTATCGTGGACCCGGAAACCTCGCTCCTTTGCGCTCAGAACACGGTGGGCGAGATTTGGGTGGATTCTCCGTCACTTTCCGGTGGATTTTGGGCGGCGCCGAAGCAGACCGAGACTATCTTTCACGCGAGGCCATATCGCTTTGAGGAATACAACCCGCACCCCGTACCGGTGGAGCCGGAATTTCTGCGGACAGGGCTGTTGGGATGCGTTATTGAGGGGAAGATCTTCGTGCTCGGCCTCTATGAAGACCGACTACGGCAGCGAGTGGAGTGGGTGGATGGGGAGCAAGCCGAGCAGCGGGAAGAATACCGATACTTCTTCGTGCAGCATCTCGTCGTCACGCTCATGAAAAAGATGTCGAAACTCTACGATTGTTCGGCCTTTGACGTGTGCGTCAATGATGAACATCTTCCGATAATCCTATTAGAATCACACGCTGCATCGACTGCACCCACGGCCGCTGGTGGGGCAGCGAGACAATTGGATATTGCTCTTCTGGACTCGCTTTCGGAGCGATGCATGGAGGTACTCCTGACAGAACATCAACTCCGAGTATATTGTGTTATGATTACAGCACCCAGCAGTCTTCCGCGAGTCGTCAAGAATGGTCGCCGGGAGATCGGAAATATGCTCTGCCGAAAGGAGTTTGATAGCGGCACCCTGCCCTGTGTCCATGTCGAGTTCGGAGTCGAGCGGGCAGTCCGCAATCTGCCAGTCGGTATCGACCCGGTAGGAGGCATCTGGTCCTACCATTCCACCCGAGCACGGCAGGAGCTTCTGGCCAATCAGGAAAAACAATACTCGGGCGTGGATTACCGGGTGGTGGTTATTGACGACCGTACCTCAACGCCGCTCAGTAATTTCACATCGATAGTTGACCTTCTACAATGGCGGGTGTCCCGTCAAGCCGAGGAACTGTCTTACTGCACTATTGACGGGCGAGGCCGGGAAGGAAAAGGCATCACATGGAAGAAGCTAGATCTCAAGATCGCAGCAGTCGCAACCCAGCTGAAAAATAAATGTAGCCTGAGGGCAGGTGATCACGCGATCCTCATCTACACGCATTCGGAAGACTTCCTCTTTGCTCTTCACGCTTGCTTCTGTTTGGGCGTTATTGCGATTCCCCTTGCGCCATTGGACTCGAACCGACTCGCTGAAGATATTCCTGCATTCCTACACATGGTCGCGGACTTCAACGTCAAGTGTGTCCTGGTCAATACCGAGGTCGAAACACTCCTGAAGGGAAAGCCTTTGGCCATACATCTCAAGCAATCCGCGGGCGTGCTCAACGTCAAGGTTCCAATCGTCCATAACACGGCGAAAATACCAAAGAGCTCACAGGGCTGTCGCGACTTGGGGTACACAGTTAACCCGGCATGGATCCAACCGGGGAGCGTGGCGATGGTTTGGACGTACTGGACTCCAGACCAGCGGAGGATTAGTGTTGCCTTGGGACACGAGACCATCATGGGTATCTGCAAGGTCATGAAGGAGACTTGCCAGATGACCAGTATGAGGCCGGTTATTGCGTGTGTACGGAGTACATCTGGAATGGGATTCGTTATGAGTTGGTTGATGGGTATCTTCATTGGTGAGTTGGTACCTCGTCATTTACGGCGCTATGTGTCCATGTTCTGATCTTGTTTTGCCTGGCAGGTGCACCGACCTACTTGATTTCTCCCATCGACTTTGCCCAGAATCCAATGAGTGTATTCCTGACACTCTCGCGGTACAAGATCAAGGATACCTATGCTACGCGACAGATGTTGGAACACGCAATCAGCACTATGCCGGCAAAGGGATTCACTCTACATGAGTTGAGGAATCTGATGATTACATGCGAGGGACGTCCACGGCCGGATGTATTTCAAAAAGTCCGGATGCACTTCGCGGCAGCAGGTCTTGACAGAACGGCCATTAATACGGTCTACTCTCACGTCCTCAACCCGATGATTGCCACCCGGAGTTACATGAACATCGAACCAATTGAGCTGTGGCTTGATCCCAAAGCCCTGCGCCGTGGTCTCGTAATCCCCGTGGAACCTGATAGCATGCCAGGTACCCTTCTCGTCCAGGATTCCGGCATGGTCCCCGTCCAGACGCAAGTAGCCATCGTCAACCCCGAAACCCGCCGGCTCTGTCACACGGGCGAGTATGGCGAGATCTGGGTCGTGTCTGAGGCTTGTGTTCAGAGCTTCTACAACTCTAAGGATTCGATCGATATTGAGCGTTTCCAGGGGAAGATCGCTGATGGCGATATGACCCTTTACGTCCGCACTGGAGACCTTGGATTCCTACACACCGTTTCTAGGCCAATCGGACCGGGACAGACCTTGGTTGAGATGCAGATTCTGTTCGTCCTCGGTGGCATCGGTGATACGATCGAAGTCAACGGCTTGCAGCATTTCCCTATCGATATCGAGAGCAGTATTGAGCGGTGCCATCGGAATATCGTTCCCAGTGGGAGGTTTGTCGCCCTCTTGCCCCTCGTATCTTCACCCTAGCTAATCCGTCCTCTCCAGCGCCTGCTTTCAAGCCGGGGGACTCGTCGTCATCCTAGTAGAGGTCCACGTCAAGTCCTACCTCGCGTCGATGGTGCCTGTGATTGTCAACACCATCCTAGACCAACACCAACTTGTCGTCGACATCGTCGCCTTTGTCAGCAAGGGCGACTTCCCACGTTCTCGTCTCGGGGAGAAGCAGCGCGGAAAGATTCTCGCATCGTGGGTAACCCGAAAGATGCGAACAATCGCACAGTTTGGAATTAGAGACACCCACGGCAGCGGCGGCGGCATGGGCGGCTTCGGCCTCGGTGGTGCAGGCAGTAGACCCGCCAGCTTCCTCCACAGTCCGCACCCTCACCCTTCGTCAATGATTAGCGAGCCGATCATGGAAACACCCACTGTCGAGAGCAGCAGTGGCAGCACACCCACGCAATCCCTCGACTCCCAGCCGCCATCGTTGGACGCCGTCGAGCTCCCGGCAGGCACGACATGGCAGAGGATAGAGCTTCCGGCTATGAACTTTGAGGATGATCCTGATCTCATCACGCCCACACCACGCACTTATGCAGAACCACAGGAGTATTCCGAGGCCACGCCGGTTCTCCCGCCAAAGAACCCGAGGAGAATGAGTACCGCGCAGAAGAGCACTGTTAGTAGCGGTAGCAATGCCGAGTATCCTACCGAGGCCCTGCTACAGATGAAGCTGGACGAGGAGAGCAGGGAGGGACAGGGGGACAGGTTGCCGGGTGCGCATGGAGCGGGATGGGGGATGGCGATGTAGGAAGATTGGGATACCTAGATTTTCGTTTCTTTTCAGTTTTTTGTTTTGTTTTTGCGTGGGGCGGCGGATGATTGTTTGCAGGCGTAGGTATTCGTTACTTTTGTTGATTCCTTTTTTCTTTGAGTGGCAGTGGGTCTGGCATGTCCGAGTACCTTGAGTACCTTTCGATGATACATACATATGTTGGCGAAGCGGAGCGTGTTTGTTGGGGGGCATCATATGGTATCCGGAGAAGTTATTGCTTGCTGCAAGCAGTGGACAATAGGGGCGACGTGATTTCAAACATGTGATATCACTCCGCATTTGTCGCTCTGCCACTGTACTTTCGATCGTACATGGGTTGATTAAACAAAAAACAAATCATAGATTCGATGCACTATGTATCAGTCTATCACAGCACTCCCCCCTTCCCCTCCCCGCGTGCCCCCAACTTATCTGAAGCTGCAAGCCTGCAGGCCTGCAACACCCATACATAACACGGTTAACTATACCGAGGATCAAAGCTGCAACTTGAGTCTTGTGCGCGCGTGCACACTTAAAGTGCACTCTACTATATGTATGATGTGCCTTTATTTAAGTTAAAGATGTGCCTTGATGTGCCTTGATGTGCCTACCTACTCTAAAGTAGGTATCCCGACTCCGGAACGTCCCGACGGATCCCGATTCCCGACGGCCGAGATTATCCGTTCACCTGACAGGCTCACATCTCACACCTCACACCTCATATGTAGAGGTGACGGTAGGATAATCATGACGGGGGGCGGGGTGGTGGGAGGGGGGGAAAGGGCAACGGTCAATCGGTTGGGATTGCGGTGGATAGATGGGGTGGGTGAGGGTGGGGGGATGAGAGGTGTGCATGGAGTACACATGCCCTCCTCCTTCAGCCAGGTACATACATACAAAACCCAATCCAGCGCTCGTGATACCGTACCTCTGTACTTTATTCACATCTCACGAGCCACCAGTACTCGAAACGGGGGTGCATACGAGTACATACTGTACCAGCTTGGTGGCTACATAGGTAGGTATTCCGCGCCGCCACCGATGACCGTTCTAGGCTCTACATAGCTCTACATAGGCACGAGTGTGCTGAGTGCTGAGTTCCGAGTGCTGAGCTACATGCCGTGCTCCGATATACATTGATGATTGGGCATGTATATCTGTATATCTGTATATATCTGTGTGTATATATAGGTGTATATCGTGACTTAGGTACATATGATGGCCATCAGACACAGACACCTATCGGCGCTGGCAGTCCGTACATACTTACCGTACATACGAGTGCTCACTGCTTACTGCTTACCCGTGTACGGTATGTATTGTGTCGTGACTTATATACGGCTGCAACATGAGACACCGCGCGGCCTATCACGGCCCGCGCGGTGTGCGGTGTGCTCGCACGCTTTCCTGCTGACGACGACGCCGTCACGCCGTCACGCCGGACGTGCTATACATACACCATACCGTATATACGCTATATGTACAATGCGGTGTCTCTTCTCTTCCCCCATTCCCCCCGCACGCACGCCCAGACGAAGCCACGGTAAATGATGAATCCACACGACATGCTGCTGCTACTGATGCCGCCGGAATTCCAATTCCCGAATGGCTGGCCGCCACATCTCGTTCCGGACCGGAGTAGTGGTTTTGGTGATGCCCCCCATGCCAGGTCCCCCTCCCCACGCCGGAGGGTGGATTGCTTCCGGTAATAGATTGACGAACTCGTGGAGAGGACGTTGAATGCTGTGCTGTGCTGTGTTGTGCTGTGCTGTTACCTGTATACGCAATTAAGTACTTACCTATGTACGAGCGCTCTATCCGTAAATGCCCATTGCCCATTGCCATTGCGACTGTGAACTGTGAACTGTGGTTTCCGGGTCCGCATGTATGGACGGGTGTATCGTGATGTGCCGTGATGTGCTGTGCCTTGATGTGCTGTGCCATGATGTGCTGTGAAATAGACGGTCCCCCCCCACGGGCCCGCCGAGAAGCTGGTTCGATTCCGATTTGCCGTTTTGCGGTGTACATAGGTGATGGATTGAGACCTGGGGTATTCGAGTACATGCCGGTACATGCCGGTACATGCTGGTACATGCTGGTACATACACGGAGGGCGTGACAGGCCATGATCGAGAAACTAGCTCCAGCTCCAGGGGGGAGAACGACAGAATGGATAAGGTAGAACAAGTGGTGTAGTTTACAACCCTCATCCATCAGTGTTCGTGTCCGTGTCCGTGTCCGTGTCCGTGTCCGTGTCCGTGTCCGTGTCCGTGTCCTTGGTGTTGAGTTTGCACGCAAACTCTCAACCGTCACCCGTCACTTGTGTGCCTGTGTCCGGACTCCGAAAGTCAACCACGGTATCCTATTGGATAGTCCAGTCCAGTCCAGTCCAGTCCAGTCCAGTCCAGTCCAGTCCGGCAGCGGCAGCGCGGAAACCACCACCACGACCACCTGATCGGCGATCGCCCCGCAGGCCCGCGGCCGGTCGGTCGGAAAACGTTCCGCACGTGATTTGCTGGCCGTTTTCGTGTGTCTGGTACTCTATCTGCTCTACGGTACCGTATCTGGGGCTATCTGTGTGTGGGTGGGGGGGCGGGGAGAGGCGGACGGGACACGCGGTGGGGGCCAGCAGGTAGTTGGGGTCGATGGGCCCGCCACGGGGGATGCATGCCGTCGCGAGCTGGCCATCACGCCAACAGTAGCAGCAGCAGCAGCAGAGCGCTGTCAGACAGACAGATAGCCAGACCAGATCGCGGCGTAGCGTCGTTTAGTAGAGCAGATTCGACTGGAGTCCGGGAGAGTAAGAGGTAACTGCCGTACACGTATGTATGGAGAGCCAGCGCTCCTCGCACTCCATCACCCTGCCCCCGCGATGTCACTCTATTCCGCTGCCAGCATCGATCGAGCAAGTATGTAGAGTACCGTATCTACCGTACCTATCACATCCAACCGCCTTTTTTGTGCTGTCCGTCCAACCATCCGTCCAACCGTCCGCCTGTCTGTCTGTAGTCCGTCCGTCTGTCGTGTCCGTCGGGTGTTGGAGCCGAATCTGTGCTGCATAAGGGGATCGGCCATTAGGAATTGTTCCCTCCCCATGCCACCCCACCCCTCACGAGTGCACGCCCATCATGGTTCCATCCGGATCCCTCCCATCCATCCATCCATCCTGGGACGGTGGGACGGACCACGGTGGGGCCCCAATGTTTTTTTTAGCGACCCGCAACGCACCGCAACGCAACGCACCAGCCGGGACGGGGCTAAAAAAACTAGTCCCGATCGGAAATGGCGACGATTATGTACGGCAACAACAACGACAACAACTCGTCTCGTCTTCTCCCACAACTTCACGAACCCCTCTCAGCTGTTGGCGTGTTTTTTTCTTCTTCATTTTGTATTCTTATCTTTATATTCCTCCCCCGGGATCTGAACTGGTCCCGCGGAGGTCGATGGCCTGAAGCGTCAACACACACACAAAAAAAAAAGGAGAAGAAACGTACGTATATACGGAGGATAGGAAGTATGTAGGCAACGGAAGGCACCGTGGAGGGGGAGTATGTACCGGTACCAGTATGTACTCTACAGGGCTGCCGAGCCGCAGAAGGTGCCGCATGGGAATGTTTCACGGAGGTCCGGTGTTTCTATCATCTGGCACTCTAGAATACCTATTCTGCGCTATGTGGTGATGGAAGCACCACTATCTACCCAGGTTTATACTCCAGTACTAGCGGTGGGGATTGCGGATTGCAGATTGCGGACTGTGAACTGCGGGCTCCCCTTCCAGCCCGCTCGTCTCTGCTCTGCCCCCTCAACAATACCGTATGTAGTGCTCATACCACCGTCCACTGTATATCACTCGCCAGAGTAAGTACCTTGATGGTCCTGGACGAGCAGTAAAAGGATTGGGGCTGTCCCCCGTGAACTCCCAATGTGTATGTACGTAGGCGTATCAACCCGGGCGCGAAGCACTGGAAGCCTATGTACCGTATTCTACACGGCACCGCAGTCCGCGGTAATTATCCCATGCGGAACCGCAACCCTGTGAGGTGAGAGCCGAAGAATCCGTCTTTCCCGCGGAGCTTACTGCGGGAGTTGCCGTAGAGTACATACACCACAGTAGTCCGCGAGCACGGTGATCACTGGTGACATCTTTTTTGGGGGACGAGCTATTATTTAGGTACCTGTTCCGGCCGGTCGAGGGAAGTGCCGTATGTACCTACCCACATACCCAGGTTCGAGCCGGTAAATCGCGCTCCTGACTCCAGGCTCCACAGCTCCACAGCTCCAGCACCGGCCGGCCGAGCGGGGCTGAGTCGCTGACAAGGGAGGGAGCCGAAACCCGGTCACCACGGTTCGCATTCTCGGGCCTTACAGGTTACCAGTAACCACGCCAGCGGATAGACCTGTGCGATGCGGCGTTGTTGAACGCCGATCGTCAAGCCAGGGTCTCTTCGCCGTCGGCACGTAGGGTATGCCCATGCCAGCATCCACATCCACATCCACAGCCGTTTCCTGTAATTGCAGAATTCGCCGGCGGCGGCGGCGGCGGCGGGGCTGTTGCGGATACCTCGTCGCTGAGCATACCGTAGCTAGCCCCCCTCCCCTCTCCCCCCCCCAACGGCCCAACAGGCAGATCCGTGGAGCTGAAATTTTCCACGTTCAACCGTTTTTCCTAGTCCCACCCAAACGCCCCCCTCCCTCCTCCCAGATCCCCCATCCGAGTCATTCGCACGGGCACCACCCCGCTGTCCGAGTCATTTGCTCGTTCACTCGCTCGTCTCACGCGCGTGCGTGGCACGGTACCGGCACTAGCGCTCTACACGCGCATCCAGCTTCTCCTCGGGATGGGGCGTCGCCCGCGAAACTGGCTCTGGGGCTGGGACTGGCACTGGGCGAGGTGGGTGAGACAGCGCTCGCTCGCCGCTGTGATGCAGTGATATTTTCCTGGCGTAGGCACATACGGTAGGTTGGTAGAGTGGCATACTTGGGAGCCTCGGCGCCGTCGCCGGCGCCGGCTTCTCAGTCACCACCGCCCACCGCCCGCCAGCCCGTGAAAAAAAAAGAAGAAAGAAAGCACAGAAGCAGCGACCATATCTGTCTATCTGCCTACCTACTCTGAGTACCTATTAACCAGGTAAGAGCCTAGCGGCCCCACGGACGATAGGCCCGCGTTTCGCATCGGGGACTTCCCGGAGACTTCGTGGTGGTGGTGGTGGTGGACCGGTGGTCCGTGTGCGACTTTTTGGTCTCGCAGCTTGTTCCCGTGCTCGGGTTTTTTTTTGGGGGGGGGGGGGGTTTTTGGTGGGTTGGTGGGTTGGTGGGTTGGTGGGTTGGTGGGTTGGTGGGTTTTGAGGCTTAGAGTTGTCACTGGTG